GACTCGTACTACACCCTCCCGATCCCGCCGATGCCCTACGCCCGGCGCGCGGACGATGACACGGAGCCGCTGCGGAAGCCGCTGATGGCCGACTGCCGGACGGCGGCCGTCACCAACTTGCTGCGGAGTATGCCACGATCACCGCCGAAAACGCCACAGGGCGACCGGTCCTCGTCGCAAGCGTCCTCTGGCCACAGTACGCGTGCAAAGAGTTTGGCGGAGCTGGTTGGGCGGCGACCGTGTTGCGATGCTCCAAACACACCGCAATCGTACGGTTCACGATTGCCACGACGCGCGATGGCCGACCATACGAGGACGCGCGCGTCCCGCTCGACCAACTGCGGCCGCTGCCTTCGCGACAACTGACCGCATAAGGCGCGCTCCAGATGGTGAAACCCATCATAATCAACGCAGGGTGGAACCCGATACAATCACCGCAGGGTGGAACCCGATATAATCACCGCAGGGTGGAACCCGTCATAATCACCGCAGGGTGGAACCCAATATAATCACCGCAGGGTGGAACCCGTTATAATCACCGCAGGGTGGAACCCGATATAATCACCGCAGGGTGGAACCCGATATAATCACCACCATGCTACCCGGCTTGCGAGTAGGGAGGAGGAGGCTGCGCTGCGCAAGCACGGGCGGGAGGGGCTTCTCCTGCGGAGTCGTGCGTGCGCAGGGCTCCTCTTTGCTTTCTTCTACTCCCTACTATCATCTCGTTCCCGTCCTACCAGAGAAGGTTACTTCCCCCAGGATTGGTCTTCTCTGCATGCGGGAACACCCTCGGGCGGCCGGGTGGGGCTGCGGCTGGAGCTAGCATGGCTCGGTAGAGCCGAGACCCCGTGTTGAGGCGGCGCTCCTGTGGGCGGCTGTGGAATCGGGAGGTATTCGAGGCAGCCAGATCTCCCGATCTCATCCCAGTGATGGACGTCCGTACGTCCCTTCTTAGTGATTGTGTTTCGGACGGCCCTTCGTTGTGTTCTCCTCCGTCCGCCAGCGAGACTGGCTCAGTCGCTGGCGGCCACAGTTCTCTGTGACCCACCCACCTCTCCCTTGTGTTTTGTCTGGGGAGGGGCTTCTCCTGCGGAGTCGTGCGTGCGCAGGGCTCCTCTTTGCTTTCTTCTACTCCCTGTGAGAGAGGCTTGTATCTTAAGAATTCTACTCCCTACTATCATCTCGTTCCCGTCCTACCAGAGAGAAGCGTCTGTGCATCTCGGTCGCCGTAGAAAAAGAATTCTTTCGACCGCACACTGCAAATTTGTCCACTCACGACGCAGGCACGGGACTGGCGCGCACTGGCACTAACACAGGTACACCAGCTGGAGAAAGAAATTTACGAGGCTCGAGAAGAAGAATTTAACGAAAACATCTCTCTGTCTCACACCGCAGGCTCGTCACAGCACACAGGCGCGGAGCCGCGGACTGGCACCCGATACGTTCGAAGGCGGAAAGGCAGGCGAAACGTACACACAGAGCCTTCCACTCTTTTGCCCTTCTCATCACTGCCCCGGCACCCACGCCTCGATCTTCATCGGCAGCAGCTGGTGCTGCTGGTCGCCGTGGCCTAGCTGGCCGCCCCCTCCCCAGCCCCAGCTCCAGACGCCGCCGTCGGCGGTGAGGGCGATGCTTTGGGCGCATCCCGCGGACACAGCGACGACGCGCCGCCCAGCAAAGGCCTCGACCTTCTTGGGCAACGGCTGCAACTCCTCGTCGCCGTGGCCCAACCGGCCATAGTCTCCATCGCCCCAGCTCCAGACGGCGCCGTCGGCGGTGAGGGCGATGCTGTGGCCATCTCCAGCCGAGACAGCGATGACGCGCCGCCCAGCCAACGCCTCGATCTTCTTGGGCAGCAGCTGGCTCTGTTGCTCGCCGTGGCCTAACTGGCCCCCGCCTCCAAAGCCCCAGCTCCAGACGGCGCCATCAGCGGTAATGGCGATGCTGTGCGCCCCTCCAGCCGACACAGCGACGACGCGCTGGCCAGCAATGGCCTCGATCTTCTTGGGCAGCAGCTGGTCGCCGTGGCCTAGCAGGCCATGTACTCCATAGCCCCAGCTCCAGACGGCGCCATCGGCGGTGATGGCGATGCTGTGGCCATCTCCCGCCGAGACAGCGACGACGCGCCGCCCAGCCAACGCCTCGACCTTCTTGGGCAGCAGCTGGCGCTGCTGGTCGCCGTGGCCCAACCGGCCAGACTCTCCACGGCCCCAGCTCCAGAGAGCGCCGTCGGCAGTGATGGCGAGGCTGTGCGCACCAGCCGACACGACGACGACGCGCTGGCCGGCAAAGGCCTCGATCTTCTTGGGCAGCAGCTGGTCCTGCTCGTCACCGTGGCCCAGCTTGCCCCCACCTCCATCGCCCCAGCTCCAGACAGAGCCGTCGGCGGTAAGGGCCAGGCTGTGACACTTGTCAGCAGATACGCTCACGGCGCGCTCGCTGCCCAGCGTTGCGGGGAGGCGGGTCGGCGTGTTGAGCCGCATCACGCCCTCGCCGTGGCCGAGTAACAGCCCCTCGCCCACGACACACGCCCTCGGCCACGTCACACGACACGACACACAGAGCCGCCCCTCGCCGTCGATGAAGACGCTGTGATAATCGCCTGCCGCTGCCCTCGCCGGAAGGTTGGACTCGCACAGCAGCGCAGCGAAGCACAGCCACCGCACGGCACAGCTCTCGCCCTCTGGCTGCGCCGGCAGCTCGAAGCCGCGCTCGTGCGCCCACAAGCGGATGGCCTCCACCGCGAGCGAGGCGTGGAAGAGCAGCGAGACGGCCGCGGCGCGAGCGATGTCGACGGGGTCGCAGCGAGAGAGGGCGCGCACGAGGAGGTCGGTGGGGAGGTCGAGGAGGCGGATGGGCGTCGGCCTGATTGGCGAGAGTGCGGCGGTGGCGGCGGCGGCGAGGCGGCGCGAGCGGCAAAGAATTTTACATGCCAAAACGCACATGCTCGACACAGATGCGGACTGAAAGAATTTTGTTGGGCCAACAAGAAGCCCGCACCACCCCCGGCTCACGCAGAATCCAAAGCACCTTTATCACTGCCTCTTTGATTGTAAAGGGAGGGTGGGGGGAAGCCATCGCACAATGGCAACCGTCGTTCACGAGTGGCTGCGAGTTCGAGTGGCTGCGAGTTCGAGCCTGAGGTGTCGTGGCGTGTGACGTGTCCCGTGTGACGTGTCCCGTGTGACGTGTCCCGTGTGACGTGTCCCGTGTGACGTGTCCCGTGTGACGTGCCCCGTGTGACGTGCCCCGTGTGACGTGCCCCGTGTGACGTGCCCCGTGTGACGTGTCCCGTGTCAGCTCCACCGTCGCGATCCACTCTCTCGTCTCGCGGCCGTCGCGCCGTCGATGAACGGCAAGGTCGGCGTCGTCGTCTCCGCGAGCGCTTCGACAGGCCGCTTCGGCGTGCGCGTGGCGGGCGAGGCCAAGGCGCTCGCGCTCAGGCGCGCTTGCCCCCCCCCCCCCCCCACACCTCTTCTTGACTCCTTTTTGACGCCCCAATCCGCTGCCTCCCTCCCCACTCTGCTTGCCTTCTGCCCTTCTCTCTCGACACCCCACGCCTCTGCCCTCCCTCAGGGCGGCCAACCTGGAGCCAGCGGCCGAGGCGGTGGAGGCGGGCAGGCTGATCCTCAAGGCGGCGGAGTGGTCACCGCAGTCGCACGAGCTCTTCCCGGAGGCGGCTCGCAAGGGCGGTCGAGGTGATGCGGCTGGGCTACCTGATCGCGTGGGACGAGGAGCGGTTTGAGGGCGAGGGGGCGGCGCCGGGGTTGGCGGACCTCTGGCGCAGCTTTGTGCTGCCAAGGGTGGTGGCGGCGGCTGCCGCAGACGCATCGCGCTGCCCGTGATACAATTGTAGCAATCCGTTCACCCCCTCCCGCCACCCGCCCGCCCTGCCCCCGGAGCGCGACAAAATGTGAAGGGTGGGCCACTTGTGTTGAGGGATTGCAACCCATGTGGGTGTCTATGTGTTTCGGGCTAACGCATCTTGTTTTGCAGTTTCTATGCCGTACTATTCACTTTGAAAAATCGACCCCAGGGACTCCGACCGACCTACGGACGACCTCGTGCGGCCAAGAAATCGGTTCGTTTGAGCGCGGTTTTATAGGGCATAGGGGATGTGCAGAGCTTGCCTCTCGCTTGCGTTGCGCGCGCCGGCCCACGCTCAAAATTCATCCCTCTTTCGCAGTATGAGTATACCGCGCGCGGCGTACGGCTTTCCCCCGTACGTACGACGGGGGGTGGCATTCTGAACTATAGAGCTCCGCAGAGTGACCACAAACGCACAAACAACGGCTCAGAGCCCCCAACCGCTTCTCAGTCCTCACCACTGGAGTCTGTCTCTGTTTGCACGGATGCGTGCAATGCTGCACGAAACTGCTCATCTTCCTGCGACTCGGACCGAGGCTCCGGCGCAAACTCCTGCTCCTGCGGGGGCATCGGTGTTGTGCCGGGGTCCTCCTCGGCGTCGCTCAGCTCGATCGGGTTGTCCTGCCCACCCTCCTCATCCTCCACCTCACTGTCCTCTGCTTCCCCTTCGTCGACGTCGTCGCCGTCGTCGTCGTCGTCCTCCTCCTCTTCCTCCTCGTCCTGCGCGATGAAGTCGTCCATTTCGCTCGGCACGTTTCGCCCTCGGCGGCAGCACCTGCGGCCGCGTCCGCCGCGTCTGCCTCGTCGTGTCCGGCCCCTTCCTCCTCGGCCTCGTCGCCGTCGTCGCCGGCGAGTCTGTAATTTTCCTCTTGGCGCGCCACGTAATTGTCCTGGAAGCCGAACACGTGCTGCGTGCAGAGCGGCACGCCCCTCTGGCCGTAGTGCCCGGCCCTGACGGCAGCGGAGAAGTCCGAGGCACGCCACTCCCAGTGGCAGCGCTCGCACCACATGAAGGGATTCAGCGCAGACACCTCCGGGAGCGGCGGCGGCTCCTCGCCGTTGCCCACGACGGGCATACCATCGCCATCCACCTGCCTGATATGATGTGGATCGCCGTGCCTGCTGCACACCTGGCACGGTGCCCACGAGCGCAGTAGAATGGGCCAGGCCTCATCCAATAAGTTGCAGTTGAAACCGCCGCAGCTGTTTGGCTCGAGCTGGTAAGCTCGCCCGTCGGCGTGGCGATGGAAGCGGTGCCAACCGCACGCCTGCTTGAGTGCGTACTCGAGCGAGACTGCGGCTCGCTTCTTGTGGATCGTGCAGTCGCCGCAGCGTGCTGTCGACCAGAAGCGGGCCAGTCGCCATGTGCCGGCGCATGTGGCTTTTGTGAAGGTAGCACCGGCGGCGGAGTCCACCGAGTTGTGCTCGTTGGCGCGCCTCGCAACCACCGTGTACGAATGCTTCTTGCAACCGCACACGAGAAGATAGGCGCCAGGGCCGCTCGGATCAGCGCGTGGCAGCGCGTCGTCGTCGCTCTCGCAGAGATACAAGCCTCTCTCACAGCACACTGGCACGACAAGGGCGCGGACTGGCGCGGACTGGCACACACACCGGCTCACCACCGGAGCCGCCTAAGCGACTCCGTTAAGAACGGCAATGCACTCCGCACCATGCACAATGCCGCTCTCCCCGCACGCTAGCTCGTTCACCGTTATTGAGAAGAAAATACGTCCTATGGCGCTGTGCGCTGGTCTGTGAGAGGTGTTGAGGTGCGAGCCCTGGAGGCCCTGGGGATGGGGGGATACTACCCGCGGGCCTAGAAGGCCCGCGCGCAGGGGGGACGGGTGGGACATTGAGACCGGCCGGTCATGAATGAGTGCGCGACACGCATGTTGCGAGCAGCGTTGTTGATGTTCACATAAAAACACAACCCCGGACCCAAGACGCACAAGCACAGACAGCCGAGAAGGGAGAGACAGCAACGACAGTCAGAAGTCAGCGCTGGGTACCAGGAAGGCGAATGCGATGAAGGCCTCTAGTGTGAGCTCTAGCTAGTGAGCTCATCGCTACTAACTATATACACAGCGAGTTAGGAGCCGACCGACCCTCGCCAGCTTTCACAGGTCATCTGTACAGGCCACCCTCTCCAGCACACACAAAAAATCGACATCGCCGACGGTAGACGGGCGCCGACCGGTGAGGACGAAATCGCGCTTCGAGCGGACGACGCACACAGCTCGAAGTCGTGTTGGAGGCGCCATGTCTCCATGACCGCCGCCATGAAGAAGATGAATAGCTCGGGGCCGAGCAGGTCACCCTGCTTGATAATCGGCCGATAATCGAGTCGATCACCTTCTTCACGCCACCCACCTCGAATTGAACCTTGACCGTCGCATGCAGCGCCTTGAGCAGCGAGACGATCTTGGGAGGCACGCCCTGCTGCAGCATCACGCGCCAAAGCAGCTCGCGCGGCACTCGGTCGAACGCCTGATCGAGAAGATCGCGTCGAAGCAGCCACGGTTCGGACGGAAGCCGTTTTGGTTCTCGTGATTCAGCGTTCCACCCTCTCCTTGATCGGTTACGTTTGTTTGAGCCGAACGAGGATGATGTTGCCAACGATCTTGTACGCTGTCTCCAGCATCATGATCCCACGGTAGTTTCCAGGGAGGCTCAGGTGAGGTCAGTAGCATCGAGAAAAATTTCGGGGCTGCGTACCAACAGTTTACCGATCTCTGGCGCGCGACGAGAAGCAATCCCCAAAGAGCCCAATCCTTTCTCGATCTCGTGTGTGTGTGTGCGCCCTGCCGCCCAGTTAATTAAAGCCGTAGCAGTTTGTGCATCAACGCCAGCTCACCGAAAAGCGAAATTGTCACACACGGTTCTCCCGTTCGCTCCGCCCAGCCAGCACTTTTCGCAGGGTGGCAGGTCCTCCTCCCCAATCCTCAGCCTCATCCGGGCTGGCACAACTCACATGCGTGTCCCTTCTCTCTGTGTTCTCTCGCTGCTCCGGCCTGGCGCCATCCATCCGCGTCCAGCATTTGTCGTTTCCCTGGAACGACTGCAGCGAACCGAGAAGCGCCGAATCCCTCGCCCTACGCCCCTCCCTCTGTGAGGCTGATGCGTGGCATCTTGCGCTTGCTGGGGCGCGACGTGCGCGCCATCAACGACTGGCCCTGGTGCACCTGCGGCGCCGCTCGCGCGGGCTGCGTGCTGCCTGCTTGTGGGTATTGCTGTGGACGTTGGTGCGGCGGCGGCGGCGCTGCGGGCGCCAGTGGCATCCCCACGCTCCTGCGCATCGATGAATCGCCGGCGGACGAAGCAACGGGGTGCGGAGCGTAGTGGCGGTCACTGCGGAGCGCCATGGCGGCCACCTTGGCGCCGTCGCCGACCGGACTGTCGTTTGGAAAGTCGTCGATACCATACTGCGCCAAGGCCGAGGCGACCTGCTCCTTCGCCTGCGCTGGCAATTCGTCCTGCCCGCCGCCGCCCGCCGCAAAGGCGTGCGGTGGCGTGGAGGGGAGCTGCGAGGCCGGCACGAACGCCTTGAGCACAAGCGACAGATGCGGCGGCCCCTGGGGCAGCAGCACCGCCTGGGGCGGCGGCCTCGAGGCGAGGCTGCTGTGGGAGGCGGCATCGCCAGCACGGATGCGGCAGACGATCCCCTCTTTGGCCTCATGCAGTTTTGAGGCGAGGGCCTGGAAGAGGCCGTGCGCCATTGGATGCAGGCTGGCCGGGTCGGCAGTGACAAGCCATGGCTCGCCGTACAGGGAGGTCAGCGGGACACGCTCGAGGCGGATCCGGGAGAGAGGCACGATCGATGGCAGCGCGCGTTCGTTGACGCCAGGAGCGGGGCCCATCATGTTGGCGTTGGTAGCGCGCACAGCGGGGGCGAGGGAGGCCGGCCAAAGCGTGCAACCGACGCACCCGACGATGTAGATGTCCCGATTGTCCAGCGGCAGCTTTGACCGAGGGCAAACGGGGGGGTGCTGCCCCGATCCCAGCGACGGCGCCGCAGGCCGTGGCCCATCAAGCATGGCACTGTGGCAGACGCACGCGCGCAGGTCTTGCGCCGTCTCTGTGGCGAGGACCGACGGGCGTGCAACGCAGGTGAGCAGCGTGGCGTCGCCCAGCTCGAGGCCCACTTGCGTTTGCTGCCGCTCGACCAGCCTCCGAGCCGACCACGCCCACGCACCCTCTTCCAAGAGGCTGACCTGCAGCGGGTGGCTGGCTTGCAGAAGAATGAGGTCCGTCTGCAGCGTCACGGGCTGCGTCAGAGCGCCGTCCGGCACGACCAGCACCTCGAGGGCGAAGCCGGGCATGCCAGAGAGCGCGTGCCCGAGGACGCGCGGCTCGAGGCTGCGCGACCCAGACGGCGCAACGAAGACAGCGCGGTGAAGCGGCCCTGTGGAGAGCGACTGCAGCGCCAGCACTCCGGGCTCGATGCCAACCGGACCCTGGGCGAGAAGGGCCGCGACACGCTCCAACTCCGACTTCCAGAACGGGCCGTGCTGCTCCAGTGATGGGTTGCAGGAGGTGACGTGCGCCAAGTGGGCGCCGTGGGCCACGCCGATGAGGAAGGGCACCGCCGGCTCGCACGAAGCGGCGGCGGCGTTCGCGATGAGCGCGCGCAGAAGCTCCTCGACGCGGCGCCGGTACACTGACCAATCCGTCGAGGCGACGCTCGTGCCGTCGATCAAGATCAGTTCGTCGCGCCGCATTCGTTTTTTGAGAGACTGACGCGACGGTCGTCTGAGCGATACGTCTTCTGGAGAGTCGCTGTTCAGGGCGAATAAAATAAAAGTACCGGGTACGGCTGTTTTTTGATCGCACCTGATCGCACCAGATGGGGACCGTTTCCGCGTCCTTCTCCCACCTCTGGGGTCTGCGTTTATTTGTTTATTATCCTTATCGTCTGGGTGGCAATTTAGAGGAACACGCGCGAATATTAGATGAATACCACGCAAGTGTCCACAGTTCCCATTCGGACGCCCCGCGGCTGACAGCGCGGGCGGTGCGCACGCTCCTCTCTCTCGCTAGACAGTGCGCTTCCGCCGCTCCTCTCTCGCGCTGCTCCCGTTCCTAGCGCGCGCCGCTGGCAGGGCGCCACACTGGCCCTTCTCGATCAGCGACACTGGGCGCTGCATGCACGCGCCCGAATCATGGCCCCTGCCGATGGTGGGCGAGGCGGAGCCGACCCGCACTGAGGACATGCGGGCGGGCACGCCAAGCACCTTGTGCAGCCCGCCCGAGAGGTTGCAGTGGTCGCTACGCATCGCCGCGGCGAGCTCACCTACGACCCGAATGGAGCGGGAAGATCGCGAGCGAGACGGCCGAGGTGCATCGCCACCGCGGGCGCGCCCAAGCTGGTTGGGCACGCGTCGCAGCCGTGGAGTGGCCGGAAGAGGTACGCATACGGCGACCGACTGTGCACGAGCTCGCCGAGGGCGGCGGCGATCGCGGCGCCCTCGGGCGGTCGATCCTCGACGTCGAGGAAAGCGGCCGTGCGGTAGCCCGCCGCCTGGACAGCGGGGGGCGGGGTGAGTCCGGACGAGCACCGCCAGCCGCGCGGGGGAGCCCGGCACCTCAGACTGCACAAGCCCGACCATGTTGAGCAGCGGCCAGTCGAGGTAGTCGCGCGCAACCTCGGCGGGCGGCTCGGCGGGCGGCTCGGTGAGCGACGGCGACGGCGGCGCGCCAAGCCCCTCGGGGAACCCGTCCGGCAGCGAGGGCGACGGCACGCACGCGACGCCGGGCACGCGTTCGGTGAGCTCCGAACAGAGGGCCTGGCTACGTGCGTGGACGACAATGTCGACAAACCCCGCAGCCTGCCACGCCGCCGCCCAATCTGCCAGCCGTCGCCATACGAGGCGCGAGCATGGCGGTATGAAGAGAGCCGACCCCGCCCAAACGACGTCACGCGTGTGGCTGTTGACGCGGAGCGTCGTCGCCTGTAGCCACTCCGGCAGGCATGTGGCCGACAGGTGCCTCTTGTGAAGCCGCTGGCATGTGGAGTGGCTCCACCGGCTGCAGCACGAGCCGCACCACCGCCGTCATGCGGCGCGTAGAGAGGGTGTGATGGTTGGTGAGCACCACGTCGCGGTGGCCGACCTGGGGAGGGGCGGCAGCGCCTTTCGAAGCGGCGGGGGGTGTCGCAAGGAGGGTTGTGTCTCGATGGGAGGGTGGCTGGCCTGGTAATGCTCGCGCTCGTCGATCACGTCGTGGTGGCTCGGCGAAAGGGCGCAATCGGCTCTCGCCGCGTACCTGGCAAGGAATGACTTGTCAATAGCCGCTTCCACGGGACACGGTGGGTCGAATGCCAGCATTGCGCACTCATGGAACGTCAGATTGCATGGCCTGCCCTCGAGGGTGATGGCGAGGCCGACCGAATCGACCCAAGCGGCGGAATGCTTGAAGTACGGGCGGTGGAAAAGCGTGGCTTTGCGCCCCATCGGCGATCGCGTCGGACCCTCGCTGTAGGAGCTCTGCAACACACGGCCTGGCGGCGGCGACGCGCGGACAAAGTCGAGCTGCTGCGAGCGGACGAGTGCGAAGACGAGACTGAGGCGCCCGTGCTCGTGGTGGTAGTCGGCGGCGCACCTACGGTCGAGGAGCAGCTGCGGTGCTGCCGATGGTCGAGGGGGTGCTCGGTAATCTCCTGCCCGGCCTTTTCATCAGCGCACTGGTTGGTCTCTCGGCGGCTTCTTAGCGTTCTCTCAGCGTTTGTGGGCGGCAGCTCACCCTCCGAGGGCGACCACGCCGCGGTCCGTCGGGTCGCTGCCGTTCCACACGGCCGCAACGCTCGCGGGAAACGACTGCCTGCGTCGGCAGCCACGCGGCGTGAGGAGCGCGGCTCACGTACCTCAGGTAAACGCACGGAGGGGGAGGGCAGCTTCCCTGCCGGCAGCGCGCAGATGAGCATCTGTCGCAACGCGCGCCGCCTGGAGTGTGTGGCGGCGGGCGCGGCAATGGCGAGGCTGGCGGTGGCCCCTCCCACGCCCTTCGTAGCGGGCGGCTCCAACGCTGGCGTGCCCTCCTCCTCCCCCGTGTCGGTCTCCGGGTCGGCTTCGTCCAGACCCGACTGCAAGTCTGAGGGCCGGTCCCGGGCCTGCAGCGCGCTGTAGGAACCCGCGCCGGCAAGTACGACCCCCATCGCCGCCATCGCCCACAACACTGCTGCATAAGCGCCCGCGACCGGCCCTCTGTGCCCGTGCGCCGCGTCCGAACGCGCCTCGCTCTCCGTGTCGGCGGCGATGTCGGCGGCGATGATGAAGCTCCCGCTCTCCGACCGCGGGAGGATGGTACGGCTCGCGAGGCGGAGCGTCATCAGGGCGGGGGCGATGTAGATGAGGAGGGAGCCACCCGTCGCGCCGCCCAACGCCGCCAGCTGGTCGAGGGGAGGCTCGGCCAAGGCGACTGCGGTGATGGCGCCGAGAGAGAGGAAGACGTGGATCCGACCTTTGCCGCCGCTCGAGCTGCCTACGCTTGGTCGGTGCACAGGCGGTCGAGAGCGGGGCGGGGCGGCGCGCCCACTTGCCTGCCGAAGCGCGAACTGCCGAGCTGTTCCGCTAGGGTGAGGCGAAAGGGGCGCTCCAGCAGCGGGAACTCGAAGAGGACGGTCAGGAAGAGGCCGCACCTGAGAGGGACGTGGAGGGCGGAGGAGGGTGGGAGGGGAGAGTGCGAGTTGCTGCCGCGAGTCCGGGAGGTGGGGAGGCTTGCATTCTTGCGCTCGTGCTGACACACTCGAGGGGCGGGAGGGAGCCCCGCACCGGGCGATCGCGGCAAGCGGGTCGGCAGCAGCGTAGTTGTTGATGACAAGCGCCTGCACCGCCTCGCCAAAGGTAGCGAACCCGGCGCCCCCGATGCTGATGAAGAGCGCAGCTGCAGCAGAGAAGGCGATGGCAGCGGCAGCGCGGAAAGGGGCGAGGCGCGAGCCGTGTCGGTCGGGGCGCGTCTCTGCGTACATGAGCGGCGCGTTGAAGTGTGCCAGGTACGCGCTCGATGCGAGCGAGAGGAAGAAGGCCACGCTGCTCGCGCTCGGCGCGACCTGACGAAGGTTCCTAGAAGGTTCCTAGAAGGTTCCTAGCTCGGCGCGACCTGACCGCGAGTATGCGCACGGCGGTCAACGCGCCGCGACCACCTCTCGGCGTGCACCGCACCGAGGCACCACGGCCGGGCCGGGGAGTGATCGGCGGTCCGTCCCGGCGGAGTCGCAACTCCGATGGAGTGCATGCCTCCGCCGTGTCTGTCGTGCGTCTCTCAGAGAGTGTGCCCGTTCCTCTACTCGTCTCCGCACCGCGGCTAGACCGGCGATCTCGCCCTCAGGGTCTGCCGCGCGCTGCTCGAAGGTGGGGACCCACTGCACAACCTCGAAAAACTTGCCCTCGGGCCCGTAGGACGTGTCGAGAGCACGCGCGGCCATCGTCGCTGCTGTCGTCGCTGTTCCAGCGAGGCCAAAGGTCGACGCGGCAGAGAGCGGCTTGAGGGAAGGCAAAAGGCTGATCGGCGCGGGGTGGGAGGCGAGGTGAGGACGACAGGAACCGCGGTGGGAGGAGGCTAGTCTCGGCAGCAGCATCGTGGACGCAGAGAGGGAGTGCTGAGGCGAGGATGGGCACCAGAGCGGTAAGAGGACGGCGACGACCACGAGCAGCTGGATGCGCAGCCGCGGCAGCTCCTCTGGCGGCTCGAGGAAGAAGCCGATCAAGTCTGTCAAGCAGACGCCTGCGGGGGCGTGTCATGCGTACGTATCCGCCGGGGAGTCGAAAGCGGGAGCTGCTTCGTGTGTGCGCGCGCGCCAATGATGGACTGGCAGATGACCGCATTGTTGAAGCTGATCAGCAGCGTGCTCGACGAGACCAGCCACGCAGTACGCGGCCCGAGCGTTTTCTGCCACGCCGCCGTATACGAGCAGGTCCCTGTGGGATGCGACGAAGGCTCTTGGAACGGGCCGGCGCCTCGGCTGCCGCGAGTGGATGATGGCGCAAAAGGTCAGAGAGAACGCGGGCTGTGGCACGCCTGTCCGCTCGCAAGCCTCGGCAATGAGGGTAAACGTCCACGCGTTGAGCGTCCCGAAAACCAGCAGCAGGACGACGCCGACGCCGAGCGCCTCGGAGGTCGCCATCCCGTTGTCAGACAGCCGCTCCATCCCTGTCGGCAGCGTCAGCACGGCAAAGCCAACGATCGAGTTTGCGATATTGGCGGTGAGATTGCAGACGCTCATCGAGGCTTGCGGCTTCTCATTCGAGCAGCCCGACGACGGAGGCATGGCGCACGGAGGCGGATAGACACGGCGTTCGTCGGCACGGCAGCTCCAATGACTAGTTCGACAGCCAGCTCGTCAGCCATGACGCAGAAAGAATTTTACTACACAAGCCCCTCTCACAGCAGACTGGCTCGGACTGGCACTACAAATGGCACAGCAGGCGACGGCCCCTTACGGGTCGTCAAAGAGGCCGGCGTACTCCTCCGGCCGCTCCTCCCCCTCCCATCCTCCCCGGGCTCTGGCTCCTCCTCCTTCGCCCGCGCCCTCGCCCCCCGCCGGCGGCGGTTCCGTGCGGCCGTCGCCCCCGCCCCCTCCCCGCCCCCATCACGGCCGGAGCCGTACCACCCCGCGCGCACTAGGCGCAGAAAGAATTCTTATTTGAAAAGAAATTCCCGCAAAGAGGAACGAGAGAAGAATATATGATAAAGCGCCTGTTCACGGCATGGAGGGTGAGCCACACCGAACGTACCGACACTTCGTCCAGCGCTCTAAGCGAGAGCTCCTCGACCTCGGCACGGCGCGGGTTGCTGGGGGGGGGGGGGGGGGGGTTGGCGATTGCATCTGGCGCGGGGCGGCAGCACTGGTCAACGACGCGAGCTGAGAGCTGTGAGCTTAGCACTCAATGCCCCGCGTGCACCTGGTGTTACAATCTCGGCAGTCTCGACGAATCTCTTGGCACATCTCCGACTCTCCTTCTTGTGATCTCGGCGCATCTCACAGGCCGTAGAAGGAGCCGCCAATCTTCTCAAAGAGGACGGGAGCGAGCGCCGCCTGCAGTGCACCCGTAAGAATGCGAGGCCCCTACCTGAGAGTGCTAAGAAAGCGGATTGTGAAGATTGCAAGGATGGCATGTATCCAGGTTGTGCATTGATGGATAGGTTACGCGATCGCGGCCTGCTGCCGCTGAACGCACGCGGCGGTGAACTGCCAACCCGCGTGCATCGGTCCGCCCCCGGGGTCCTTGCGGCAGCTGCCGCCCGCGCACGTGCCCTTGTGCCTTTCCCACAGGTGCTGCGCCTTCGCAACCGAGCGCGGAGTAGGTGCCGTCCGGAACCCCGTGGCGTCGAATCCGGCCTGCCCCTGCACCTCCAGCCCCGCCACAGCCATGCCCAGCTCGGCCGTTCGACGGGAGAGTCCAATCTCAACCTTGTGGATCAGCTCGCTGCGTCTCGCCCATGGGATCGAGCACGGCTCCGCCTCGAGACGGCGCAGAAACACGTCCGACCCGTCGGGGACTCGGAGCATCACGGCGTAGCTCTGCGCGTGCGGCTCGTACTCGGGGACACACACGACCACGGCGCCGCACACTTCCGCGTCACCGCATCCCTCCCGCCACGCCATCCACCAGCCATCGGAGCGAAGGGGAGAGGCGGTTGACGACTTGTAGGGAAGCTTGTACTTTGGCGGCCCCAACCAGACGGGCCGCTCCGGAGGACCGGCGCCTGTGCGGCCGAGCAGCGGGCCTCGCACCTGAGCGAACGGTGGTCGGGTGACGTCGGTGGCAGGCGAGTGGTACAAGGCTCGGCTCAGGAGCTCTTTCGCGGATGTGCGGCGCGCGCTTTGCGAGTGTGCGGGGCCCCTCTCTGCTATGGCGGCGCACGGCGTCGTTGAGCAGGATCACGTGAGAGTAGCGATCAAGTGGTAGGCCGGCGAGGGTGCGGTGGTGAAGGCAAAGGTCGGAGGGAGGCAGCGTCCACTGTGGGCGCAGCTCAAAGTTGCTCGGTGGCGTCTCCTCGCTCCGAGCAAGCGCTTCCCTCAGGACTCGCCTCACGCCTCGCCCAAGCTCCTGTGAAGTGGGGACACCCGGGGCGCGTGGCCTGGGCGCCAATTCCGCAGGCTTCAAAAGTCTAGGTGTTTGCAACGGCCAAGACGGCGTCTTCGCTACACTGGTGGCGTGAGAGCCAGGGCAGCTGTCCGGGTGCGCCTCTGTCACGTTGCCAGCCGCCAGGTTGAGGATAAAGTGAACACGGGGGTCGTCGACGACGCCGATACGGAGAAAGTACTCGAGGTTCCGCCTGCGGAGCTGCAGCTGCTGTGGCGCGTCGCTCGCGCGCTCGGCGTAGTGGAAGACCACGAGGGTGCGGTCGCGCATTGCACAATCGACACTCGACACAACCAACCAGAAATCGACATGCGGCGTAAAACTTCAAAACCGGCGCGCAAGAGAAGAGATTTTTAAAGAAGTTTATAGAATTGCGGAAGAAATACGACACTCAGGTTGTGTTATTTAGTGGGGCGTTTACTCATGCACATCACTTCACACTTTGGGCTCTCTACAGGACACAGTCACAGATATCGCCGCGGCCCGTGCCGGGATGGAGAATCGCGCGATGGGCAGCGTGTGTGGCTCGGCACGCGCCATCTCGAGGGCCACGATACGGCACGCGACGTGGGGCGGCACCATCACGCCATAGATGCGTTCCATCCGCGCGAAAAACAGGTTCGGGTGCAGCGGTCGGTGGCCTCGATGATGATCAGACACCCACGGGTTCTGGTAGTAGGTAGAAGAGCGACGCGCCCGCGTTCCATCCGATTGCGTGCGGATGCAGTCGCTCACCGTGCCGCGCGGCCCCGGCGAGCCAGTACACGCCGTGCCCCAAGCGGAGCAGCGCCGCCGACGAGATCAGGCCCCGGGGAGCCGCGGGAGCCGCACCGTAGCTCCCGGTGTGCCCGCCCACAGCGCGCTCGCGCTCGCGCGGCGCGCTATGGGACAGCCCAGGCGCTAGGCGGTTCCGGTGGGAGCAAAAGAATTTTACTACGGCGGAGTTACGGCGCTCGGATACCCTAGCCCCCAGATGCGGCTGCCGCGCGAGCCGCGGCGGCGAGTGCTCTCGGCGGCGGCGCCGGCTCGGCGAGGAAGACCTGCGGCGCCCTGCGCTCTCGCGTAAAACGAGAGGCGCCGTCCGGCGGGCGCGCCTCCTCCTCCTCGGCCTCCTCCTCTACCTCGATCTGCACGGCCTCGTCCGATGCCCCCGTCTCCGCAATCGTCGCCGCTGCGTCTGCGAATGTCGCAACTGACGCCGCCGCGTTCGCCTCCGCCGCCGTCTCTGTCTCCGCCTCCGCCTCCACCTCAGCCGTGTCCATCGCCACTGCTTCTCCGGGCGGCGGTGGGCTGCGGCTGCGGCTCGAGCCCGGGCTGCTCCCCGCGCTCTCCTCTGCGCTCTCATCCAGCCAGAACTGGCAGCCGTAGTCAACGAGCAGCTCCTCGCCTGTCCACAGCCGCGGGCAAGCATCAGTCGCGCAGCGAGCTGCTGCACGCTCGGCTAGACCTCACCCACGTCTCGGCTAACCAACCGCATACCGGCCGCATACCGACATCTCGGCCGCATACCGGCCTCATACTGGCCGCATCTCGGCCGCTTCTCGGCCGCATCGCCTGGCTGGATGAGCCGCTGCGTCACCACCGAGACGGCAACTTCGCCGGCCCCAGCCGCGTAGTGCAGCACGAAGGCTACGTTCGGCTGAGGCGCGATGCCCGTGTAGTCGTTGATGAAACGCGTCTCGTTGCCGTACTTGGCCGCGTCGATGTCGAACCGGCGCCCCGTCCGCCGCTCGCACACCTCCACCAGGTAGCGCGAGGTGTCGTACGCGCGCTGCGGTGTCAACAGGGGTGGGGCCGAGAGTCAACCCACTGCGTCTCACGAATGCGGAGACTGAAGGCTCCAAGGAGGTTCCACTAGAAGCTCCCGCTAAAAGCAAGGAGGTTCCACTAGAAGCTCCCGCGTGAAGCTCCCGCTAGGAGGCTCCTAGAAGGCTCCTAGAAGGCTCCACGATGGCTCCTAGAAGGTTCTCTCCTGAGGCTTGACAAGGCCGGTGTAGTTGCCCAGCACGGCTCCGCACGGCAGGGTGACGGAGGCAAAGAGGCCGAACGCGCCCGCCGACGCGCCCGCCGCTCCCACCGGCGCCGCGGCGGGGTGCTTTGGCGGCAGCGGCTGTATTGAGACTCCGCCCATGCACCGCCACTGCGCCATCTCCATCCGTGCCGACGCCAAACCGGCAGCGTCGGTGGCGGCGTCGGCGGCGTCGGCGCGCGCCCCACCCACCGCCGGCTCCACCCAGAGCAGGAAGGGCGCGTAGACCACCCCGGCCGGCCAGTTGGGAGGGAGCGTGCGCGGCCTCGCCCGCCGCGCCGACCCGCCCTCCCTCCCCCGCCGGCCGGCGGCGGCGGCTATGTCGAGCGGCACGCAAGACCAGCCGGCGCCCGCGGCGTCGAGCGACCACGCCCAGTCGGGGTACAGACCGGCCGCCTCCGCGCCGCGGTCGAAGGCGGCGACCGTCGCGGGGTCGTGAATGTGGTGCACCGGCTCCCAGGACGCGCCTAGCTCCGGACGAGAGAGGCTTGAAACGTCGAGTCGTGGTGCGGGGAGTTGCCCCGCTTAGCCTGTCAGTATGTGTGTCTGTGTGCGCGCACGTGTGCAGCTGCGGGGTGCGCATGTGCGGGTGGTGCGTCAGCGTGAGCGCTCCTCCCCCGGTCGGGTCGCGCCACTTGATGAGGTATTCCGAGGCGCCCGAACGGCTGAGGCGGCGGCCGAGGATGCACTCGAACTCACACATCGCCTCCGCCTCCTCGCCGCCGTCCCCGCTGCTACCACGGCCGCGCCGCCGCCGCCGCCGCCGCGCGCCGCTGCCCTGCACGCGCTGGCGTTTGCGGCTGCCGCCGCCGCCGCCGCCGCCGCTTCCTCCGCCGCCGCTTCCGCTTCTTCCTCCGCCGCCGCCACTCTCGCCGTCTCCGCCGCTGCGGCTGGTGGCGTCGCCGCCATCGCCGCCAATGCCAGCACCTCCGCCGCCGCCGGTAGCGACGGAAGCGGCGGATTGGGAGCAACGCAGCGCCTCCCACCCTCCCGGGGGCGCCTGGAGCAGCGCCTCGGCGGGCGGCGTCAGGCTGCGGCGGAGGAGCGACGCCGCCGTCGACGGGGCGGACTGACCACCCTCCTTCCCGCGCAAGGCCACTCTCTCCGCCTCTCCCTCAGCCTCCGCCTCCGCCGCTTCGCCGCCAGCGCCCGTCGGCGCCGCCACAGCCGCCACAACCGCCGCCGCCGCCGCCGCCGCGTGTGGCTGCGCGGGCGGAGGGGCTACAGGCGGCGCTGGCGACGGCGCGGGCGGCGCGCTTTCCGCGCCGTCGGCGGGCGCGTTGTCGGCGTTGTCGGCGTCGTCGTCGCCGCTGCACGAGGACGCCGCGCGCGATACGTACGTTGACACCTCGGCCAAGTAGGCAGCGGCTCGCTGCGCAATCTCGCGCACCTTGTCGGACGCCTCGGGCGTGTCCTCCAAGGCCAGCAGCCGCGGCAGCGCGCCGACGGAGAGGAGCATCCGCGCGGTCTCGTGCCCGCGGTAGGCGAAGTTGAGCATCGCGCGCGCGGCGCCGCCGCCGAGCGAGGCGTTGTGCAGCCCTGTGCGGCTGTGGGTGCAGAGCCACCGCGCCGAGGGCAGGGAGACGGTGGCGCGCCTAGAGGGCGGGCCGTGGCCGAGAGGTGTGGCCGAGTCATAGCTGAGGAGCCGCGGGGATCCGGTGGCGCGCTTTGCGAGGAGCAGTGGCACGAGGGCCGACAGCAGCCCGCTCGTCGACACCTCCTTGGCGCCCTGCCGGTCGAGGCTGAGGTTGGCCACCACCGCAGAGATGACGTAGCACAGCCCCAACGCCGCGCGCTCGCGCTCCGCGTCCGTCTCGCCGCTCTGCGAGGCAGACGCCGCACCCGCGCCGCTAGCCCCGCCGCCACCGCCGCCGCCGCCGCCACCGCCGCCGCCGCCACCGCCGCCGCCGCCGCCACCGCCGCCGCCGCCGCCGCCACCGCCGCCGCCGCCGCCGCCACTACCCGCCTGCGCCTGCGCCTGCGCTGGTACTGCCGCCGCCTCCACCGAGGACCCCCCTGCCGCCCCGCTCGCCGCCGCCGCCGCCTCGCTCTCCGCTGCCGCCTCACTCGCCGCCGCCACCGCCGCCTCCTCCCCGCCAGAGGCAGCGGCCGCCGGCGACGTCGCGCACGGCGCCTCCCCGCCTGAGCAGGCCTCCGCCGCCGTGGGCGCCTCGCGCGCACCGAGGTGCGAAGCGCCAGGCTGCGAGGCGCCGAGCTGCGACGCGCAGCTGCGGAGCGTCTCCGCCAGCAGCTCGCCGGCTCGCGCCTTGACAAAGAGCCGGGCGTGGCCCGGGGCGGCGCCAGCGAGGTGGCTGAGCGAGACGAGGGCCCACTGGCGCTCGATCAGAGATGGCGCGCGCGGCGCGCCCTGCCGCAGCAGATCGCACAGCTCGCCGACCGCGCCCGCGCTGGCCAGCGCCGCTGCGCAGTCGCCGTCGCCCGAGAGGACACCCACCAGGAAGAGGGCGCGGTTGCGGCAGGCGATGGAGTCGCCGCGCAGCGAGGAGAGGAGGCGCGACCGCAGCGTCGCAGCCAGCTCCGACGTCCGCGAGCGGCCGCCGCCCAGCCGGCGGATGCAGTGCAGCAGCAGCAGCCGGGACGACTCGATTGAGTCGGACTGCTCGGGAAGCGCGCCGGCGTCGCCGGCGTCGACCGAGATGCCGAGGCGCGCCAGTGCGTCGCGCGGCGGCTGCTCGCGCCCCTGGGCCAGCAGGTCGACGCGGCTGCCGCGGATCATGAAGACGGTTTTCTTCGCGCCGTAGTAGACGGTTGTTGCCTTTCGCGCCGGGGTGAGAATGTAAGCTCGCACTTCGTTGTGAAGACTGGGCCGCGCCACCCAAGAACTTTTGTGCGCAAAGGTGGGACGTGGCTTGCCGCGGTTGTTGAAGTATAATTGGCTTGCCGCGGTTTTGTCGTAGCCGGGCGGGTCGATGGTAATTTGGAAATTCCAGTTATATCCGGCGACAACGCCAAGCATTGCCATCCATTGGCGCGACCTCAACCTTTTCCGCCGAATCCAGAGACGACCACCCCGCCTCCATCAACGCGGGGCATCCGGCCGCTGCACAAACGCCAAACACGCAGAGGCCGGGGCAGAGGACATGCTGGATGTCGTCAAATAGGAAGCGTGCAATCTTGTACTCCTCAGAGTTCTTGTCAATGCCACCACCCCACTTCTCGAGCACTGCAGGGGCAGTGATCTTGTTGTTGCCGCCGCGGCCTCGAGGAAGGAGGGTGGCGGCGAGCCCGCATGAGCCAACGAGGAGGACGATGCCGACGGCTTTAGCTCGGGACCGATTCGGCCCGCCGACTTGCGGAGCCGGCACGATGAGCGACATATTGGGCGACGAAGCCCCCGACGCGCGGCGAGCGACTACCTGGAAGTCGGCGCTCAAATCGTTTGATGTTACTTGTTAGGTTAAAAACTCGGTGTGGCGTCATGCCACGCAGGTCTTTTTTGTAAAATTCTTTTTTGTGTTAGGTATGTTGTTGAGCACTTGAGCACTTGAAGGGTCGATTCCGCATGGTACGGGACCCCTCGATCGTCTCGCCCTCCCTCACTGGTTGGTGTGTTCATTGGGGGGGGTCATAACAAACACGGTACACAGGATCGAGGTGCACGCTGCAGAGGCAGTGTCGTCCCCCTTCTCCCCGACGGCGATGGCGGTGTGACCGATCGAGCTACAAGAGGAGCTTGTTCAGCATGATCCGGGTATGTTGTTGGCAAATCAAGACACAGAGCTCACACAGAATCACAGTGTTCTGTTTTAGTATCTGTGTTAGTTAGTGCCATTGCGCGCAGTCCCGTTCCCTCTGTCGTGCGAGGGAGCTTTGTTCTAAAAGTGAATCGTGCTTTGCGACCGCCTTTTTGTACCGTAAAATTCTTTTTTATTCAACGCAGTGTAGCCCGGGGCAGCTCGACGGGGCAGCAGTCGTTATTGACGCTGCAGCGATCGGGGACCGTCCCACAACAACACCCTCTAGACTAGGGCTGACTGAAACCGCAACACATTCACAGGGCAGGAGGCAGCGGCAGGCCGTTGCTCAGAGCGAGCTACAGTTGCACGCACGCTAGACTGCCACAATCAGAAACGCCTCAGTCAAACCTCACCGAGTACCCACCCACCCTCACGCACAAATAGTGTTCAGCAAACCACTCAAGGATTGGCGCCCAATGCCGTCCAGCTCTCGACCAGCGGCACCGGGCCAACAGTGCTCAAACTTTACCGGTATGAGACCGGTATTTGGCGATATTTTGATTAGTTTTGGAGTGGTATGGTATAGTGGTATGCGAAAGTGGTATGCGGGGTTTTCATTAGTTGTAGCGGCTGTCGGTGTGGTCCCGGGGGCGAAACCATGCAAAAGTGCGGGTATTACCCGGGTATACCCGGGTTTTTTCAGGTATACCCGCAAAATACCCGGTATTTTGCCGATTTTGCCGATTTTGCCACCAAGAAGGCACTCCGACTCGCTTTGATTTCCGTGAGGCAACTGGTATCCCGTACCACTTTTTGATTAGTGCAGGCCTTGGGGTTGATTAGCCAAAAACTCCCATACCGGTAAAGTTTGAGCACTGCGGGCCAAGGCCCGCGCATGCAGGGGTGGTCGGATAATCGATCTGCAAATTACATGTGCCTTGCTTGGCTGTGTTCGCCTCCACCTACGTCATCTACAGGCACCCCCAGGCGTGCTGGCAGCCCATCGAGGCGCCAAAACAGCTTGGCGTTGACTGGCCACACGGATTGCCATATGTAAGCGCCCATGGCTCGCACGTATCAATCGCAGGTGTCGAATCAGACATAACAGAGGGAGCGAAAATTGTCTGACAGGCGCAAGCACATGTTTCGCCATTAGTGGCTATGTTTTCCGCCAGTCCAGCACGAGTCCAGGTCGAGAAGCTGCAGGACGTGCCGTCACTAAATGAGGTGTCGCCAGTTAATTGAAATTTGCCACTGGACTGTTTGACTGCGATTCTGTATCCATCACACCCGTATTCATCTTTCTGCCCTCGTGATTCGCGCAAAGGAGTACTAGGGAAGTCAGCGCAAGAGGCGCAGCAGTAGTGCACGAGCTCCACCGGGACGCGGGGGCAGTAATTCATCGACAACACCTGAGCGGAGCGGGGGGAGCGCCCTCCTTTAGACGCGGGGAGAAGACGGATGGGAGGCGACCGTCATCTCAGGCGTGGGTACCGGGGCAGAGTCTGTCTAGCGCTGTCTACGCGTTCTTGTCGACGAGGGAGGTGCAGGGCTCTACAGGTGGAAGCGCCTACTGAACGGTACCTCAGCACAGGAGGTGACGTCGGGAACGCCGAGTGCGGTTGCAAGCATGGGGACGGCAGCGTTGTCGTCCGTGCACGGCGTGGGGGCAAAAGCAAACAAGTACAGGGTCGCTGCGAGCATTGCTGACCTACGCTGCGAAAGAAGGGTCAGCTACCAGCACGCCACGCTCTGGACTGCGTCGGGCCGCGAGGTAGTAGCGACACCAGAGCGCCCGTCTTCGCGCGCGAATATAGTTAGCGCGGCCGTGCGCCTTGCTCGCGTGCGGGGAATTGAGCGGGGCGGCGGGGCCGGGGATGAGCGGGGCGGCGGGGGCGGGCGGGAGGCGGCACCTTTGCTCGCGAAAACGAAAGATATTACGGTTCCCGTCGGGTTCGTTAGAGCTCTATTAGCTTTGGGGGTAGGAAAGCAGAAAGAAATGAGGACGATTAAACTCGGGAAATGAGGACGTTCCCCAGCGCTTGACGGGAGGGGCGCAAATTCCGGGCTGCGCGCAGTAGGATTGAGCTGATCCGAAAGACCAATCGGCCCGGGAGGGATCGCGCAAGGGCCGCCGAGCAGGCAGCTGGCAGGAGAAGAGGAGCGCTTTCATCTGGAAGGAGGAGGCCAAGCGGCAGCAGTGCGGCGTGCCCTACGCGGTGGCGCCGCCCTCCTTCTTCTGCTGCCTCGAGAGCAAGCAGGCACGAGCGATTGGACCAGCCGGGCCCGTAGCGTAGCTGTTTGCGAATGGGGCAGTTCTGGAGCGGCCGCACAGTGGTATCCCCCTGTAGTGTATGTAACTGTAGAGAGGACTCGGTTTGGGGAGGGCGCGAGTGGGAGACTTTTCGGCGGTCGAAATGCGCCGGCGCCCCAGCGTAGAGGGCCTTGTGTAGCCCTCTTTTTGGTATAACAAAATGCGGCGATTTGGATGCGTCCTGTGGGACGACCTGTTGGGACGACCTGTGGGACGACCTGTGGCAGCGATCGATGCCGGCGCCGGACGCGGCGGCGAGGCACACGGGCGCCGGCGTGGCGCGTCGGCAGGCCCACCACGAGCGGATGCGCGACGAGCGCGCTCGGGAAGTGGCCGCGGGCGACGCGGAGCTTCCGCCGGAGGACGACGCGGTCGAGATGGCGAGCGCCGCCCACGTGCTGGACAGCGTGGCGGAGGTGGGCCCGAACTACACCCTGCTGCGCAGCAAGGAGACGAAGGCGAAGCGGCGGAAGCGACAGCGCGAGGATGCCAGGGTGGCGCTCGACGGCCACACTGTCCTGCCCACCGGATCGCGCCTCGAGATCTTCTGCGACAGCGAGCGGTGGTACCCCGCGACCGTCATGGCGCGGGAGGAGGACGAGGACGGACGGATCGTGCACGAAGTCGAGTACGACGGCTACCTGGATCGGCGGTGGTGGCACATGCTGGACGACGAGCGGTGGCGCGCCGTCCAGAGGAGTCACACAGGAGAGCCCCCAACACGCCACATTTTCAGCAGCAGACGGGCCGCCGTGAGGGCCCATCCTATATCGAAGGATGGGGTTCACCGCCGTCCCCCGCGGCCTCCTCACGCCCCCAGCGGCGGCGTGCCGCTCGGCCAGACTGGTGGGGTTCGCGCACAAGCGCCAGTTCAACACAGAGAGCCCAACAGTCCGCACATGAGAGTCCTCCCCTCCGCCCCCAAACCAGAGCAGACGCCGGGGGGTGCGCCACGTATGGCGAAAGCAAACGCACGACGGCCGCCGGCGGCCGTTGAGCCGCTGCCGCCGTTCGAGCCTTGTATGTCCGTCCGTCGCCGCCTGTGGCGAGGGCAGTGGAGGTGTGAGATTTGTGCTCGCAAGTGGTGGGCGGGCGAAAGGGTCGGGCGGCGAAAGAGAGCAGACAGCGCGAAATGCGGACTCCTCTTGTCACATCCACTCCTCGTGTCACCTGGTCATGGTCGTCGCTTCCCTGGCCGGTCTCCGAGTCCTGCTCCTCGCCCGAGTCCTCGTCCAAGTTCGAGTAGTCTTCCTCGTCTTCGTCCTCTTCGTCGATCTCGTCGAGCCGGCTCCTGGCCCGACGCCCGTGACGCTGGGGCCGACTTGCTACGCGCGCTGCGACCCGGACCGCCACCTCTGCTGCCGCGTGTGCTACCCGTAGTCCTTGCCGGCGAGCGAGTGCCTTTTGATTCAGGTCCTCACGGCGAGTAGAGTGCAAGCCTCTTCTCTAATCAATATGGCAGCTACACAGTCTGAGTCTGCGAGTTGGCAGCCCGGTTGGCCTAAAGGAGCGCACGCGCGCGCCGTGTAGCGTCGGTCTGTATCAATTCCAGCAGGTCTTCCCCAACCACCTCAGCATCCGAACCCACGTTGGTCGTTGGATGGAAAGAAAGAAAGAAGACAGGTCCCGGGAGGGATGGGAGGACGGCACGCCGCCACCACACAGCGCCAACCCGGCTGGGTTCAACTAGACTCCACCAGCCTGGCCGAGGCGCGCCGCATGTGCTCTGTCTGTGGGCGCGGTGGCCGAGTACCTGGCCGAGTACGCCCCGAGCGGCGAGCCGACCGTGTGACTCTGCCTCATCACAAAGATCAGAGTGCGCGTGGTCGAGGTGAACTGGCTGCGCGAGGTGGAGGGCGAGGACGACGTCTACGAGACCCGCAGGGGTGGAAGGGGTGGGCGACGGTTCGGATCAAGCTAATCTACGACCCCTGCTCCCGAGTCAAGGAGGTGACGTAGGGCGGCGGTCCACGCCGCTGGAGCCGGCCACGGGCCCCATCCGCCGCTTCCGAGGACGCTGACGCGGCCGAGGAGGAAGGGGCGGGCGAGGCTGGCGCCGCGGGCAGCTCGAGCGGCGCCGTCGACGAGATGGAGTGCGAGCCGCCGTCGTCCCCGCCTGCGCGCGAGCAGCCAGTGCTGCGCGGTACCGCGCGCCAGCGGTACGGCTCAGGCGCCGTCCTCTCGGACGACCCGCGGGAATGGCTGAACGACGAGCAGCTCGGGCGTCTGGCCATCTGCGCGGGCGACCAGCGCTGCGCAGAGCGGCCTGTTACGACTGCGTACCCGCTCGACGGGCAGTCGTTTCAGACGGGCGAGGTGTTCGCGACCACGCGCTCCAAGGAGGCTCTCAGCAGCACCGACCGCTCGCGCCTCTTCCACTTTTGCCTCGGCATGCACTGGCGCGGTGATCTGCGCGCCGGCGAGATCCGTCTTCTTTTGGGAGCCCTATGGCTCAGACCTGCGCGCTTCGGACCGAGCGTCGGGGCAGCTGCGCGAGGCAGCCGATGCAGCATGCGGCACCCGGGGCTGGTCCGTAGTGATCCTCCGCCTCAAGCTGCAAGACGACGCCTTCCAGTGCGGCGTGTGGGCGAGCTGGTTCCGGCAGAGGTTCCACGCGTGGGTCGCGCGGGGTGACTTCCAGGAGCCATTGAATGACTTCTTGCTGCGCGGGACGCCGCTGCGCGACCTGTCGGGGTTGAGAGGCAGCGAGCTGCGAGACGTCTCGCGGGCGAATGGCGTCTTCATCGCCGAGGAGCGCCTGCGACTCCGCGGGCTGCTGCAGGCCTACGCCGAGACAGGCACAAACCCCTTCGGGGACGCTGGCGCCTTCCTCCACGACTTTGCTGACGACGGTGAGGCGTCCAGGAGTGGGGACGGGGAGGCGCGCGAGGCGGCGATCCTGCAGCTCCTCCTAGACGCGGGGAGTGCGGAGAACCCAATCGGGGGACCGGAGGGACTCTAGTAGCTGCTGGGTGTGTGCAGGGAATCTCAGGGAGCAGAGCCAAAACAGCAACGGGTGTCTGTCGTGGGTGCGTGCTTGGGTGGTTGTGTGCTCTCTGCCGCTTTTGATTGTCAGACCACGACACGTCCCGATGTAGAAACATCATGGGAGCACCTCAGATGCGTCTGAAGACCGCAGGGTGGCACCAAATCGGGCGCCAAAGGTCGGCAGAAGGCGCCGAGGGGCCAAAATGGCCCCGTTGGGCTCGTTCCGAGGCTTGGACGGACTCTCGCGGCTGACTCGTGCGCGATATCCCCCCCCCCCCCACAGCAGCAGCGCTCTGCTGCTGGGGGGGTCCGAACCCCCCCCCCCCAGCAGGAGCGCTCTGCCTGTGGGGGGTGCTGGCATCTCTGTATAGACAGCAGCTGTAAGTAGCATGTGTTCCAGTGGCGAGAATTTATGGTCGACACCAAAATCAGTGGTCTCACCGGCGGGCCCTCCTACTGCCAACCGGGCTCGAAGGCGCGGTGAACACAACCGCCTCGAGCGTACGCTCAAACACGAGCCGAGGGTGGAGGGGGGCGGCGGCGAAGAGGCGGGAGAGCTGGGTCCGTGCGCTCTGCTGCTCACCCCCCCCCCCCCCCCCCTAGAAGGAGGGATGGCTTTAGATGTGCAGGGGGGGTACCGAGCAATGTGCGGCCCCTCAAAGGGCCCCGGGGGCGCTTTCGAGGCCCCAGCTACCAAAACACGCCTTTAGAATGGTCCCGAGCGGCTCCCACGACCCCCCCAGCACCCGAGCTGCACGACACGACCGCTTGTTTGAACATTAGCGACACAAGTAATTAATCATGTGGGTTGTGTCATCGTGGCCCCCCCCTCTAGTCGTCCCAAAGTCTCTCCGTTCTCCGATTCTCCTCCTTGTCTCGCGCGCCTCTTTTGCGGCCTCATCCCTAGCCGCCAGTGGTAGAACTTCTTCCTAGAACATACTTACCTCTTACGCAACACACGGTCACGGCTCACGCACCGACTGCAACCCCGACGCCCGAGGCGAAGGGCGTATGCACACCCAGTCTGCTGTGAGCGGGGCTGTGTTGTTAATTAAGAATTCTTTGATCTTTCTTTCTGTCTCTCTGGCATCTGGGCACGGCACAGCGCACACTGGCACGGACATAAAGCCGTACAGATGGACACAGGTGCACGGGCAATTCATCCAACCCACGCACGTGGCACAACTAGCGCTCAATAACTTCGGGCCGATCGTGCCACCCACCCACAATGCACTCCACACGCTCTTTTCAACCCTGCCACGCATTCGCTAGCGGCGCTCCCGCGGGTGCGAGTCCCGCTCGTCGCCGCGCCGCCACGGGTGAGGGTGTGCCGCGCCGTGTCCGCGCTCGTCGTAGTGGTCGCGTTCGCGCGAGCGCTCGTCGTGCCACCGCTCGCGGCGGCGCTCGTAGTCTTCCCGAGTTTCGACGGGGGCGGACAGGCGCTCGCGCCGAGCGTCGGGCTGCGGGGCGCTGGGATGCATGGAGTCGCTCCGGCGGCGGCTGTAGTCTTGTGCATCCCACGACGCGCGCCGCACCAGCAGGGGCTCGCCACCGCCGCCACCGCCACCGCCGCCGCCGCCGCCGCCGCCGCCGCCGCCGCCGCCGCCGCCGCCGACGCTGCCGCCGCCGACGCTGGCTCCGGCGGGGGCGGCGCGGCATGGCGGGGGCGAAGGCGTGCGGCTCGGCCGCGCATGTGGCGCCGACTCCATCACGAGGACTTGCGCGGCGCCTATTCACAGCTCTTCTATTCACAGCTCTTCTATTCACAGCCTCCATCACGAGGACTTGCGCGGCGCCTATTCAGGCCGGCACCGTGAAGAGACGCAGATCATGCGCCCCCATCTGAGGCGAGCGGGTGGACGGACGCCAGCGCGATGCAGCAGGTCGGCCACGGTGGACGCGTCGGCGGGCGAATTCAGGTCAAAGATGACCTGCGCGCGCGGGAAAAGGGTATGGAGCGGAAAGGGTGGAGTGTCACGGTGGGGCGTGGGTATGCACGTGGCCTTTGCGGGTGGGGGGTGGGGGGTGGGGGTGGAGAGGGAGATCCACGCACCTTCCATCGCACGTCGCCACCTCCAGCGCTGCCGTCGGGGCGAGCCGGATATAACTTGCTAGGAACCCACGGCGTGGGGGTGCGAGTCGGACGCGCCTCCCGGTAGGGGTTGAATGGCGCCGGGCGCGTCTCCCGGGCTGCTGCCGGCGGCGCCTCCGCCCCGCTCGATGCGCCGCTGCTGCCGCCCGCACCGCCCTCGCCGTTTCCGCCGCCCTCGCCGCCCTCACCCTGCTCGCCGCCCTCTTCGCCTGCGCGGGCCTCGCCACCGCCCTCGCCGCCCCCGCCGCCCCCGCCGCCGCCCTCGCCCTCGCCGCCGCCCTCGCCGGCCGCAGGCTCCTCCGGCTCCCCCACCCGCCCTGGCGCCGGGTCGCCAAAGAGATGCTCAGGCCTCTCGCGGCGCGCGGAAGCGCCCAAAGGTTGTCTGTTGCTAAAGTTCGGCTTGCCTCTGTCGGGCCTCATCTGCTGCAGCGGGGTCGGGGCTCAGCGAGGCTCCGACGAAGGGGAGGGGGGGCGCGCAGGCGCCTCCTCGCAACTCACGCCCTCCTGCTGCAACTCATCCCGGATGGCGTCTGCGGTCGACCAGTCCCGCCGGCGCTTGGCGGCCACCCACGCGTCGAGCCTCTGCTCCACAGCCTTCGACACGCACCTCTGCAGGACGGTCTTGGCGGAGGGCGTTTTGTGCTGCCTCATGCGCACCTCCGAGGCGGAACCCCGGCTCTTCGGCTACGCCGCCTCCCTGGCCTCCCTCCCGGGGGCAGCACTGGGGCAGCACAGCTACTCAGACGGCGTGCCAGCAAAGAGAAAAAATGACGTCGAGCGCCTCTTGGGTCTCTGCAGGCGCCGATGGTCCGTTGCAGGTCCTTGTTCGCTAAAGAAAAGCCAAAACTGCGTTTCCATTCGATGCCGGGCGTTGCCCACTCCCCGAGGAGGTCTTGCCAACTCCTCTCTCGACCGCTCTACACTACGCCGCCGCTCTTCTCGCACACTGCGCAGCTCACGGCCCAGAGCCTAGTCGTCTTTTGCCGATTTCTGTAAGCGTCCATTTTTGAATAGGTTTGGAAACCACCGAGGGGTACGATTCCACATAATTCATCCGACGGAAACGAGGCGATGGCACCTGATTCGGGGAGCAGTGGGGGGGGGGGGGTGAGGATTTGGTTCTGAAGAAGGTGGGGCATTACCGAGGGGGATGGGGTAGGGTCACCGTTTGAGCGAGCGGGGGCTGTGGCGCCGACGGCGGCACCCTTGTACGAGGCTGTGAGGGGAGCGGCGGCGAGAGGGGGGGCGGCGGCGACGCAGGCGAGCCGCGCGCGCGCGACTGAGGGAAGCGCGGGCGGCGGGAAGAAGGAGAACGGCGGCGGCGGCGAGGCGCAAATCGGGGGCGGCGGAAGTGGGGGCGACGGCGGCGGCGGAGTGAACGGCGGCGCGCGCACGGACGGCGACGAAATCGACGGCGGGAAGGGGCGGGGCTGCATGGCGGCGGCGGGCGCGCGCTCATATGTCGTGCTTTCGCATTGGCACTTCACATCCTCCTCGGCGACCTGCGTGCGCGGGAACGGCAGGGGTCATGTCGCGCGCACCGGGCGGCGCCGTGCTCGCAGCAGCCGGGATCGCGGCAGAGTATGGTGGAGAGCTCTACCCGCGCACCTGCCCAGCAGGAGCTCGACGCCGCTCCTGGCAGGCGAGGCAGGGATCTCGGCGACGTTGGAGAGCGGGCGCACGATCGATGAGCTGAGACGCAGCGCGCCGTGCCGCCGCTGCCGATGGCGCCGGCCGCCGCTGCTCGGCGACACGCTTCGCGACTCCTGTCAGCGGCGCGGGCATGCGCGTTTGTGTGTGACGGAGGCGGTGCGGAGTTTCTCTCTCCTCCTCCTCCCCCTCCCGGCTCGCATGCCCATGGGTCGTGCATGACGCGTATCTGAGCCGTGAGCAACTGAGCCTCAAGCTCAACCCCACACCCCCTTGGCCTTGCCCCCTGCAGCTGCACCACCCACCCCCACCACCACTGACTGGTTCGAGTGTGTAAGTGTCGTGCGCGTAGGCATTTTTATTAGGAGGTCACATTAACTACCAATTACGGAGCTGATACAAGATACATCGATCATCGTCGCACACGACACTCGACAGCATGCCCATGCGTGCATTTCGGTTGCCGCAGCATCCTGCATCGCGCGTCATGTAGGACTCTATAACGGTAGACACTGGGCACAAGGGCCTTCGTACTGAACACTCGGAGCTCTACTAGACAGAGTGAGGAGGAGGGGAGGGGGCGCTAGAGGGAGAGGGCAGTGCGCCGGACGAGGGCGAAGCCGAGCGGCAGTTTGGGTCCAGGGCGCTATCGGGCGCACCCCGCTGCTACTAGAAACGACTGTGTGTCGTGGCAGCGCGGTCGGCCAGCAGTGCCGCCGCGGCAGCAATGTCGTTCCCCGAGCGGTAGAGCGCCTCCCTCGCGTCAGCGAGCGCAAACCCCATCTCGACGAGGGCCGACTCGGCCGCCGGGTTGGTTGGTGGTTCCTGCGACCGCGCGTATTGATCGTGGCCCGCGGGTGGTGGTGGCGGCGGCGGCGGCGGCGCTTGCTTGATCAGGTCGTCGAGCGCGGCGTAGAGGGAGGCCGCTTCGGCTGGTGGCGGCACCTGGTGAGGTGAGGTCACACGCATGGGTGGGCTTGGGTGGGCAATCACTGGGATTCAAAGTGCAAGGGCTTGGTGCGCGTGGGTGGGTGGGGAGCAGTGACAGTCTTGCGGCACCTCGCCCGAGATGAGCTGCTTGGACGTGACCGGCCTCTGATAAAACTCCTCGTTGTCTTTTGAGCGCGTGATGAGCACCGCGCCCGTCAGTGAGACGCCGCCAAACAGCCCCTGCGACTGCGAGTAGCTCAGGCAGCCCGTGAAGCCTCCCGTGCCGAGCCTCGCGTCTGCTGCGAGCGACCGACCGACCGGGCCGGCGGAGACGGAGAGGTCGCCGCCAAACTTGACCTGGCCCGCGCTGGCAAAGGTGCTCACGGCAAGGGTGCCGAACAGAAGAATGATGGTGTCCGTCTTCTGCGCTCCGACCTGGAAGCCGAACCCCATCCCGCCGCTGCCGAGCGACGACGGCGCACTCCAGCCGCCACCGTTTGGGAGCTTCGCGATGAGGATACCACCCGAGACGGACCCGGACCACACGAAGCCCGCCTTGACTTCCGTCATGAAGACGATGCCCGAGCAGCGTTGGATCAGCTCGACGGGGATGCCCTTGTCGAACTCAGCGGCGTTGGTCATGCTGTTGAGAGACTCGAGGCTCTGCTTGATCTGGCCCTTGAGGGATGTCATGGCTCCGATTGCTTTGAGCGAGAGAGCAAGCAGTTCTCACAGAGGTGGATATCCGAGCAGTCCGCTCTCAAAAAGAAATAAGTGTGGGTCGCGTGGCCCGGCCGGGTTGCTGCGCAAATCTCGCGCTGCGCTAGGCCCAGAGCGAGTTCGCGCTGCGCTAGGCTCAGACGGCGTGCGTGCGCGGGCCGCCGGGGTGAGGACCACCCACCTTCCCGCGCCCACCTCCTTCGGGCTCGGCAGCTTGTCGGGCTCTACCTCAGCCCTCAGCCGAAGCTGGGGCCGGTCCCGTAGGCCGTCCGTAGAGCCGAGAGAGCCCCCGCGTCCCGATGAGCGATGAATTCGCGGGGTCGGCGCCGTCGGGCGGTCGGGGGCTCGCGGGGGGTGGCGTGGGAGCGCAGCATTCCCAGCCCGCCTTGAAAATCCGGCGCGCCGCACTGCTCTGACCCCTGCTCGCCCCTGCTCGCCACTGTCGCCTCGGTTGCCGAGGCTGCCGCGCACCCGCGCGCCCGCGTCGCTGCGCGACTACGAACTGCACCAGCTGGAAAATAAAACGGACATCCCAAGCTAGGGCTGGGTCAAGGACAGACACGTCCCCACCTTTGCAGGATTTGGGCTCGGGGATGGCGGAGATCGTGACGTCGGTGTTGGGGGGGGCGGAGAGGGCGGCGGCAAGGGCGGTGGCGGTGGGGAGGGTGGCAGGTGGAGAGAAGTGTCGGGATAAGCGATGGTGAAGGCATGGAGGAAGTACGCGAGAGAGATCGGCAGAAGTGGAGGTGTGGGTTGCCGCTACGTTCCTAAGATAGCGACAGTGATTTAGTGCTGATAACTAGACTGCAATACGTGTGCGCGTGCCGCGTGGTGTGTAGGCGTGTATAGGCTCAGGACTGTCAGCGCAGCGCGCCGTTTGAGTGAGGTGGGGCGGGATGGCGAAGAGAGAGATAGTGTCAGTAGCGGAGGAGTATGTTGGGAGGCCGTCTGGGTCTAGCTCGGCGCTGCCGTCGGTCGCGAGGCCAGTGACGTAAGCTGAAGAAATCTCGGGGACGGTGGGGTCTGATATGATTGGGTGATGAATGACGGAGGAGATGCGAATTTGGGAGGGTATGGCTTCACTAGTCGTTGGAGTTAGCCGAATGATCACGCGCGCGTGCAGGCGAACAGGATAAGGGAGGCACCTTTGCGACGCCGCGAATCCAGTCGATCTGCGCGCACGGCGGTAGAGCGAGGGTCGAGTCGATCGGCGTCCAGATGTCGTTCTGCAGGTCCTGATATGGCGCCTCCGGGTCGCAGCGGCTCTTGTGGTGCGCGTCGCGTACCAGTGGCGTGACGTTCTGAAGCGGCGTAGCTGGCATTTCGATGGACTTGTAGCTGCGGGCACCGACGCGGATCTCGTTGATCTTCGCGCCGCTCTGGTACGAGTGCAGCAGTAGGCGGTCCTCCTCGAGCGTCCACGGAGTGTAGTTTGAGTTCATCGACACGTTTTTTCGCGCGTGCAGCTTCACGAGAGCGTCCTCGACCCACGGCTGCAGGCTTGCCTCGGTGTTCAGCTGCGTCTCCGCCTCCTCGCGCTCGTCGCAGGATCCACAGATCAGTCGGAGGTCGTCGAGAGCGTCGAGTCTTTTGAGAACCTTTTTCCATCGCCACTTGATTGCATCTTTGCTTCGTTTGGTGGCGGATTCAAACGGCCACTGCTCTGCCACCTTTGGCAACGAGATGCCGTCTCGGACGTGGCGCAGCAGCACGAAGGCATCCATCTCCGGACGCCACGGGACGGCGCTGTGCTTTGATCGGCCGGATGCGTGGACGGCCATGAGGCTGCGACGCAGCACCGGGAAGAGGTGAAATGTAGTCCTCTTGCACCACTGGGTCGGACGAGAAGGGACCGCCGTTCATGGCAGCGAGAGCGTAGAGGAGCAACCTGTGCATCGCCAGCACAGAGCCAGCAAAGCCGCCTCGAATCGGTGAGGGGATCGTGGCGGCGATCGTTGACGCGTCCTGTCCCGACGGCGAACTCCACCCCCTTGAGGGTTTTGGAAAAATGCCAAAAAAATTTCATTCCCATCGAGCGCCTCTTGGGTCTCTGCAGGCGCCGATGGTCCGTTCCACCATGAACGGCGCCAGCGAAAAATCTCAGCAACCTCCTTCGAGCGCCAACGGGGGAGGGGGGGGGGGCTGGAACGGCACGGAGTGCGCCGCGGCGTACGCGCGCGGGAAAGCGGGGGGGAGGGGGGGGGGGGGGGGGCAGGGGGGCCGAACAAAGCGGGGCAGGGTTTGGCCACGGGAACCTAGGCTGCCAATTGGAAGGGGGTGGTGGAAAGGGGGGGGGGGGGGGACAAAAAACCCCCCAAAATTTATTGCACAAATTTTTAAAAAAAAGATTTTTCCCCCCTTAAAGGGGGGAAGGGGGCGGGCTCGAAAAAAAACTGGCCCGGGACCGTGCCCGGGGCCGGGGAAAACCTGCCAAAATTTTTTCGGCCCCGGGGGAAAAAAGGGGGGCGCAAGAGGTGCGCAAGAGCGGCGCGAGAAGGGCGAGGAGTGGACGAGCGAATACGGCCGGGGTGTGTCGGCCGGGGAGCCTCCGGCGGGCCTGCGGCGCGGGGCGCTGCGCGCGGCAAGCTTGCCGGGGTGTGGCCGCAGCGAGAGCCCCCGGCGGACGCCTAGTGGCGTGGCGCGGGCGCGCCGGCGCTCCCGCGCCCGCGAGAGCAGCCGGGGTGTGTCGGCCGGGGAGCCTCCGGCGGGCCTGCGGCGCGGGGCGCTGCGCGCGGCAAGCTTGCCGGGGTGTGTCGGCCGGGGAGCCTCCGGCGGACGCCTGGCGGCGTGGCGCTGCGCGCCGGCGCTGCGGCCATTCTTCGAACGAGGCTCGACTGCATCTTCGAGTGCATCTCTTTCCGACTTTTTTGGGCCCCTTAGCAGCTCGCGGAGGAGCAAAGGACGCCCGATTAGCGCTGCGCGCGGCCGGGCAAAAATGTTACGGTGTTTCGTTCAAGTGTGTCCGAGCGCCTCTTGGGTCTCTGCAGGCGCCGATGGTCCGTTGCAGGTCCTTGTTCGCGAAAGAAAAGCCAAAACTGGGGCGTTTCCATTCGATGCCGGGCGTTGCCCACTCCCCGAGCTTGAGGTGCAGATTCATTGGTGACGGGCAGCATGAACGGCGCCAGCGAAATATCTCAGCACCCCCCTTCGAGCGCCGACCACCTTCTGCACCTTGGTTGGCTCCGACCAACGCTCCGGTTACGATGCGGGGCTGTTTCAGAGACATCAAGCCCACGGCCGACACGGTGTGCAAAACGCCTCGCGTCTCCCGGTCCTGCACGCTCCATCCCTGCCCCCTCTCGCTTCAGGTCAAGCCTCCGCTGCGCATCGTCTCATGCATCGTGCGGCGCCCCTGCCTCACCGCGCTCGGCTCCGTCACGCTCGCCATCCTCCTCACAGTCGCCGGTTGGGCGTACTTGCTGCGCGGCATCGGAGGAGCAGGTTGGGAGCTCAGCGACATCCTTCCCCAGCAGGACTACCCCGTCTACCATGAGATCTCGCAGCAGACGGACGCGGTCCTCATGGCGATGGATCGGTCGGAGGAGAACTTTGCGCTCCGCACCCGCCGCCGCGCCCTCTCCGCCCGCTTCACCGCGCCGAGCGCCACCACGGGCGCGCATCGCTTCCTCTCGTCCTCGGGGGTGCAGCACCTCGAGCGCGCCGCCGCGCGCTTCGATGGCGCCGACGTCGGCCGTGCCGGAGCTGGCGACACTGCCTTCGAGCGGGGCCGTGAGCTGTCGTCGGAGCAGGACCAGCAGACCGAGTCGCTGGGCGACGCGATCTTCTCCTTTGGCGCGCGCGAGGACGGGGGCGACTCCTTCTCCGAGGCGGGCCTCGCCGAGCTCTGCCGGATGCATGTCGAGCTGATGGAAACCAAAGACTACGACCAGTATTGCCTCCGGAGTGGCCCAGGCTTCGAGGCGCCGGACGTCGGGGTGCTGCCCGACGCGACTTGCAAAGCGCCTCTGACCCCGCTCGTCTTCTTTTATGGCGCGGGGGAGTCGCCGAGACGCCGAGATAGAGTGCCTCGCCGCCCCTCGAGCCGCCGCCGCCGCCGCCGCCGCCGCCCGGCGGCCGCCGCCGCCCGCGCCGCCGCCGCCGCGCCGCCGTCTGCTGCGCTTTCGGAGCTGCCCTTGCCTGGCGGTGTGAGAGGGAGGGGGGGGGCGGGGGGGCTCGCGGTGTGAAAAGGGAGACGCTGGCGCCACCCGCCACGGTGTTTGCAGGCCCGCCCGCGTACGACCCCGCGTCGGTCGACCTCGCCATCTTCGACGTGCCCAACTTCGAGATAATCATGGAGTGGCAGCTCAGGTCTTCCAGCACGGGCAACGCGACGGACAACGCGGCCACCATCAGCGATGAGAACAACATCACCGTCACGGAGGCAGACTACACCGCCGTCAACGACCTGCGGCTTCAGCTCTCCCCCAACGGGGCGATTGGCAGGCAGTGGGCATACGGGCGCACGCGCTGCGGGGAAGGCGCAACCGAGGGGCAGGAGACAGCCAAGGACGCGGCTGCGGTCAAGCTGCTGGTGGCAAAGGTGCGCGGGACACTCACACGCACACAGTGCGCTGCTGCGCCTTGCACTCTACCTGCCGTGCGGCTCCTGTCATCGGACGTGGAGACGCTCTGCCTGTGCGTTTTGCCCCGCCATCCCTTGTTTGCCCTTGTGGGTGTGTGGAGAAGGTTGTCGTGTCTCACCTTAGGTGCGCGGGAGCAAGGCCCTCTCGGACTCGCAGACGGGCGGGCTCGTCAACTTCTTCTTCGACTCCGCCTACGGCGAAGACAACCCGCGCTCGCGCTACACGCGCAGCTTCTACCAGTTCGGCGCGCTGCCCCCCTCCCCCCCCCCCTCTCCACCCCGACCAGATTCGCGTAGCTCCTCCACCACACTCCCTACCTGCTGCAGCGAGGAGCATCCATCTGGGCTCGGTTTCTCCTCTAGGCGCGCCGCTGGCGGGGTTCGACAACTACATCGAGAGCGGCCTCAAGGACGACCAGGACAAACTGGTGACGGACTGGTGGAAGGAAGAGGACATGCGAGGCCTCTACTCGAAGAACGGCCGCCTCTCGTGGAACGAGATCGAGCCGTCCGCCATTATCACTCTTGGGGACATCCTCCTCAACGAGCTTCTCGCAATCGCCATCCAAGACGGCCTTCTCGCCCTTTTCCCAATCGTCGTCGTCTTCCTCATCGTCTGGTGCCGATACCTCCGAGAAACTCCCCCGCGTACCTCACCTCCCCAGACACTCCCCCGCTTACCGACACCTCCAAATACGCCGTTACCGTCCCCCGCCCCCCGCCCCCGCCACAGGCTGCACACCGGCTCGCTCCTGATCGCCTTTGCCACCCTCACCGAGCAACTCCTTTCCTTCGGCGCCGCCGTCTTCTTCACGGCGGTGGTGCTGCAGATCAAGTGGCTCTCGTTCCAGTTCTTCCTCTCCATCTACATCGTGCTCGCCATCGGCGCCGACGACACCTTTGTCTTTGTCGACGCGTGGAAGCAGGTCCCTGGCATCGACTCCACACGTCCCTGACATTGCCCGACACGTCCGCGACACGCCCCTGGCATCGCCCGACATGTCCCCGACACGTCCCCGACATCCCCGACACATCCCGGCACAGTCCTTCTACGCGGGTACCGAGGTCAACCGCAACCTGGCGACACGCATGTCGTGGGTCTACCGCCGCGCGGGCCTCGCCATGCTCATCACGTCGCTCACGACGTGCGCCGCGTTCCTCGCGACGGCGGCCTCGTCATGGCAGGTGCCCGACCTGCAGCTGTTCGGAATCTTCACGGCCTTCGTCATCTTCATCGACTACGTGCTCGTGATGACGTTTCTCACCGCAATCATGGTGCTGTACCACAACCACTTCGAGATGAAGCCGGGCCTCTGCTGCGCCTGCTGCGGTACGGCGGACACGCAGCAGGGGTGCCGCAAGGGCGGCTGCGACGCGCTCTGCGCCTCCTCCTCGAAGCTCGAGACGACGACGGCGGTCGCCGAGCGCGGCGGCGCCGACCAGGTGGCCAAGCCGCGCCTCGTCACCTTCTTCGAGGACGTGTTTCCCTTTAGCATCATCCGGCGCCCTCCGGCGCGTGCAGCGTCCGTGGTGATCATGCTCGCGGTGCTCGCGCCGATGGCGTGGCAGGCGTCGCAGCTCGAGCCGCAGAAGGATGCGGCCCAGCTTTTGCCCGACGGCCATCCGTTCCAGCGCTTCTTCGACTTGAGCGCCGAGTTCGAGGTTTCGAATGAGGACGAGCCCGTGAAGCTCAGCGTCGTGTGGGGCTTTGAGGACAAGCCGCTCGACATGGAAGGCGTCAACCGGCTCTTTGACCCTCAAAACAAGGGCCGCCTCGCCTTCAGCCCCGACTGGGTGCTCGACGGGCCGTGCGGAGGGGAGGGACGGCGCACACCAAGCCACGTCCACGACACGTCCGTGACGCGTCCCATAGGTCCTTGACGAGTCGGCGCAGTCAGGACTGCTGAGCGCGTGCGACCTGCTCGAGAATTCGAATCTCGTCTTCGACAGAAAAACCGACGAGGGCGGCCTGGAGAAGGACATCGACTGCTGGGTGCGCGACTTCAAAGACTGGCGCAACACCCACAGCAAGATCTTCCCCGTCCCCGACACTGGCGTGGTCACGGCGGTCAAAGAATGGTGCAACGCCATAGACGCACGTGACGCAGACGGGGACACCGCGCAATACTGCTCGCGCTACGTCGGCTTTGAGGTCGACGCGAACGGCGACCTCTTCATCGCGTGGACTCGCGTCGTCATGGGCGTCGAGATGAACGACAACGTCTTCCTTCCCGCGTCAGAGCTCCGCGAGAAATACGACGACTACGAGGGCCTCGTCGACGAGATCAACGAGGCGGTCGGCACGACCCTCGGCGACGCGTTTCAGGCCGAGAGCTCACCTGAGACGCCGCGACGAGAGGCTCTGGGCGAGAAGCAAGGCGTCAAAGCGTCCCACCGTCGCCGTCTCCCCTCCCTCGCAGGTGGCCCTGGGCGCCGAAGACCCGGGTGGACAGCCGCTCGCCAACAACAAGTGGATAAACATGGTTTTGCAGGAGCTGTACGTGCGCATGTCTACCGTCGGCGTCGTCATCGGCATCAGCATCGCCTTCGTCGTCCTCGTGCTCTCCACCCGCAACCTCCTCGCCGCCTCCATCTCCGTCCTCTCCATCGCGTGCGCCCTCGTCACTGTGATTGGCATCACCGTCGCGATGGGCTGGGAGCTCGGCTCCAGCGAGGCCATTTGCCTGATGACCCTGACCGGCTTCGCCGTCGACTACGTCGTCCACCTCAGCCACTCGTACATGGAGTCCACCTCGCACTCGCCGCTCGAGCGCACGCACGACGCGCTGCGCGACATGGGCATCTCCGTCTTCTGGGGCATGCTGACCAGCTTCGTCGCGGCGCTCGCGCTGGCGTCGTGCCAGCTGCAGTTCCTCTCCAAGTTTGGCTACTTCTTCCTCCTGACCATCACGTTCGCCTACCTCTGGGCCTTGCTCTTCCTCATGCCCCTCCTCGCCACCGTTGGCCCCCGCTCCTCACCCGCCGACGGGCGCGCGGTGCCGCACACGCCGTACAACTCGAACACCACCCGCCGCAAGGTGCCCGACGCCATCGAGGTGGCATAGGGCGGATCCGGGGGGGGGTTAGGGCAAGTCCCTGCCGCCTTTTGTACATTAGGGGTGAGGGGGGGTTGACATGAGCCTCCGGCGCGCTAGTGCTCTCTGAGCGCGCGTCGCCGTGTGTGGGAGAGCGACACGAGGTTAGTGCAAGCAGGTGGGCACGTGCTCCGCTCGGCTCTGACTGGCGACTGTCCGCTTTTTTATTGTGTCGCTGAGAGGCGTATATATTGGTCACTGTGTGTTTGAATAATGAAAGATGTTTGGTCGCGTTTCCTTTGAGCTGTTTGATCCTCTTTGAGACCTCTCGAGGGTATATAGGGCCATGAGATCTGAAGCTCACCCATTGAGCTTTGAGGAAGTGAGCGAACTGCTCGACCAGCCACCCTGATCGTGCTGAACAAGCTCCTCTTGTAGCTCGATCGGTCACACCGCCATCGCCGCCGAGGAGAGGGGGGACGACACTGCCTCTGCAGCGTGCACCTCGATCCTGTAACGCGGAATCGACCCTATCCAGTGCACAGTGCTCAAGTGCTCAAGACCTCTCGCTCGCACTTGGAGCTCAATCCGCTCATTTTACTTAATAGATAATACTCCAAAGTGCTAAAGCCGTAGCTGCAGATGCGCTACTGACGTAGTGCTACTGCTAGCTCGTAGAGCTGCCAGTGCCCAGTGCCGCAGCCCGCACTGCCAGTGGCAGTGCCGCAGTGGCAGTGCACAGTGGCCAGTCCCAGTGCTACGCCAAAAATACCTTTTATTTACACACACGTTGTGACCGCGGTTTTTCGCGCGGTTTGTTTTCGTTATTGCGCTAGGACCAGCGCCCACTGACGAGATATCACAAACGCTCGGCCCGTGCACGTAAGTCGCGCGCTCTCGATAGTACAAATAAAATCGTGCACCTCTCTGCGCGCTACGCGAGTCCACGTCCCCTCATCCCGGCCTCAAGCTGCTTCCATATCACCGTGAAGAGGGCGGCCTGCACGATGTTCGCCAGCAAGCGCGTGCCGAGCCCGCGGCAGAGGAGCCCCCGCAGCCCGTCCTGCCGCAGCACCAACTCCGCGGCCTCTTCGTACGAGAGAGGCGCCTACCGCAAACCCGCGCCATCGCCACGGGATCTCTCCTCGTTACGTCCGCGCGGGAGGGCCTCCTGCCTCCGCAGTCTGTCGGGTCGTCTTGACCACGCGGATGGAGTTGGAGAGGCAGTCCGAGACTGCGGCGGCGCAGACGCCGAGTGTTGCTGAGCGCAACAGCAGCCGCGGCCCGGCCTGTGGGACATGGCTCGGACATGTCGTGCGGACAGATCAAGCAATTGGCCGAGCCGCGCTGGCGCGTCCCGCCGGCTCCGCCCTCGGCAGCAGCTCGTCGAGCGCGTTGAAGGTGAGGAACCACGGGTAGCCTCCCACCTGTCCACAGCCGCACGGGCTGACGAGACAATCACCCGGCGGCGACCAGAATCTCCGAACAACTCTTGGCACAAAATTGGCCGCCGCAGACGCGAGCGCGCCGGCCCAAAGCTCACAGGCGCCGTTCTGCTTCGCGCGGCGCAGCAGCAGCTCATACGCGCCCCTCCCCTCCACCTGAAGCGCCGTCTTGAGCGTGTCGAGCGGCGTGATTGCCACGCGCCACAGCGCCGCCGCTGCGCTCGCCTGCGGCAAACTTCCGAGACACTTTGGGGGAAGGGATTGCGCCACGCGCGGGACAGCGGCTGCTCGCCAGCGCAGTGCGCAGCGCGACGGGTAGGGCGCCGCCGGCAGCGGTCGACGAGAGGAGCGCGAGGACGCCTGTGTTTGCTGCTGTGTCGCCAAAGCGCGAGAGCGGCGTCTGCAGCAGCGCGTACGGCAGGCCCTGGTAGAAGCGCGAGACGCCGCCATGCGCGTAAAGCGTCCGCATCGCGGCGCATGTGGATGAGCCGTGCCGATACTGGTAGTTCATCGTCGTGCGCAGCCACATCAGCAAGATCACCTGCGCTACGCCCGCCGCCGCGCCGGACAGCCCGCCGCCGAGCGCCTTCCGACTCGCCGAATAAACGATCTCGCCGACGGAGCCCGCCGGTCGCCGCTCTTTGGCTGGCGGGCCGTACCGGGCCGAGAGCCAGCCGATGATCACGACAAGGAGGACGAAGGCGGCAAAGACGCCGCGAGCGGGCAGCAGCAGAGGGCTCGGCGACGGGCGAGCCTCGCCCGCTAGCACGCTGGGGTCGTCAGAAGCGGCGGCCTTCTCGAGCAGCGAGGCCTCCTCGGCCGAATCAGGGTTCGTGCTCGCAATTTTTTGTCGGCCTTTCGCGTCGAGCGGCATATCGGTGTCGAAACACCGCTCTGACAGCGCCCACTGATGCCTCCGGCTGTTTGCGGCGGGCGGCTTGCTCGCGGCGATGGCGAAAAAATCGTCTGTGGCACACCAAGGGCTTAATGCTCTGGCGAGACGTGAGGCGCATGCGCCCAGGAGGGGAGGGCGCATGCGTAACGACGCTGCTAGAGATGCCTTTCGGGGCCCAGAGATAAAACTTCTGAAGCCATGCGTGACCTACCTAGTAGTGTCCCCAGCTATGACCTATGTATGGGCGATGGCCAAAAACTCTCTCTCGCCACGTAGACTATAGTCGAGCGCGTCGGAGAGGTGTTTTGTGTGGTGTGGACGCGACAATAGCTCGGCTGTTCATGGAGGCAACCGATACGAGTCGACTGGTGTGTGTCGTCGTGGTTTCGTATCAAGAATACTCACTCACTCACACGCGAGACGTGAGGCGCATGCGCCCATGGCAATCTGCCACCGACAGCAACACGCCTTTGATCGGCTGCTTGCGCTCCGCATACTCTCCAGAAGCTGTTGGTTGTGTGGCTGGTGCTACTTCTATCAGCCTTCCTCATGCACAATGTGGCCGTTGAGCTACGAGGCTGCAACCCGTCGTCATTTGAGTTTGCTGCCAGCCACACACAGCGCGTTCCTGCTGCACGAATGGTTGGACAGGTGTGAACAACACCTCGTGGGGGCGGCACCGCAGGCGTCCATTGAGGGGTCCAGGTGATAGCCCTGGGCGGGCAATCCATACGCCTAGTTGGACTTCAGATCGCCCGATCGCGTCCCGGTGAACTGACGTCGGATTTGTGACGCCGCCGCACCGCGCCGCGGCCAGGGGCCCTTTGGAGGCTGAGGATGGCCGTGGCGGACCTAGACGAGCTCTGGGAGGTAAAGTGTCAGTGTATATATTGTAGAGGCTGACCACGTGCACAATATCTCTCACTCTAGCTAAGCCAGGGGAGGCTATTCTGGGCGTACACACGGCTTACACCGGTGAGCCTCGCGACAAAGCGAGCGCGTCCGGCAGAGCGACTGAAGAATCGAGGACAGAGTCACAAATCCCGCTTGTTGTGCATGTTTTGAGGTCGGACAGTGCTGCTGTCTTCTCCACGCAGCAGCCGACGCCACCAGGCCTCGGTAGCTGAGCAGCAGGAGCCTCCTCGCTGCTGGCAGAGTTGCGCCTCTGTTTGCCGCCGCTAAGAGATCGCTGTTGCGGGAATCCAGGGAATCTAAAGGAATCTAGAATCTGTGGGTCCGAGATTCGATCTGGGACCTGAGCCGCTCGGGACCAGCTGCACATGAACCGGGGCCACTGCCATGTCGCAGACGACTACTGGATCGGCCGTCGCTGCGACCAGCAGGGTCAGCTTCTCTTTCACAGAATTGGGCGAAGCTCCCATATGGGAGCCGCAGCCGTTTAGGGGTTAATGCTCTGGCGAGACGTGAGGCGCATGCGCCCAGGAGGGGAGGGCGCATGCGTAACGACGCTGCTAGAGATGCCACATCGGCCCCGAGGTCAGATCCTTCTACTCTCTTAGTGACAAGACTTGTCTACTGGCTGGAGCCGAGCAGGAGGGCCCGGCGCACAACCCCTGGTCAACTCACGGTCCACACCCCGTACAGTTTAGTAGGAGGACCCTCCGGGTCTGCAACTCGCACTGCGGGTCCGCACCTCATATGACCAGTAACATACCGACCACAGTGGTCTTCTACCCGTGACCCCCTCGCCGCCGGGCCGGGCCGTACGCGTCTATCAGAGCGCGCACGCCCCGCTTCGCGGCGGCGGTGCCGCCGTCGGGGCCGGCGCGCGGTAGCCGCGACGCGAGCGCGCCGAAACACACCTTCCCCATCGCGGCGGCGGCGCGCGTCGCCTTGTGCTGCGGGTCGGCGTAGCAGAAGCCAAAATGCGCGCCCGCAGCTGCAAACGCGCCCGCGGCGCGCGCAAGCAGCGACAACTGCTCGGCCGCAGACCTGCCGGGCGCGGTGGCCAAGGCGTGGCTTGCCAGGCCGAGCGTGAAGCAGAGGTCGCCTATTGCCGCCGCCGCCGCCGTGAAGCGACGCCGCTCACAAGCCCCGCCGGGCCGAGAGCGTGCAGTAGAGGTCTCCCAGTTGCTCGTCGTACTTGCCGCACACGCGCGCCGCCACGCTCAGCGCCTGCTCCGCGCGCCTGCAGCGGTCGGCGTCGGAGGACGCTAGCTGGACCAGCCGCAGCCGCGCCTGAAGGGAACCGGGCGGTGTCTGGCCGCGCCTCGGACGGAACTCGTCCCAATCTCGGCAGATCTCCCGGCGTGTTTTTTTCTCCCGCGACCTCGCCTGGAGCGCGACGGCGTGGTTCGGGTGGCAGCGCCGCAGCGCCGACTCCAGCACCGCCTCCACCTCCGCCGTAGCACCGCCCTCGCTCGCCGCCGCCAGCTTGCCGCGCAGGTCCGCGTCCCACGCCAGCACGCGAGAGAGCGACTCGGCGGCGCCTGATCGCACCCACCGGGCTGAAGGGCAGCAGAATAGCGGCACGCGGGGCCCGGGCGCTTTCGTCGCCGCAGCTGACGCAGCGCCAATCGCCCGCCCCACTCTCGGGCTGCATCCAGCCGCGCCCGCACCAGCAGCGGAGGCTGCTCTCCCACTCCTCGCTCCGCGACAGGTCCGCGCCGCAGCGCGCGCAGTCGCACGTGAAGCTCTTGTGCCGCTGTAGCAGCCGCCGGCGCTCATACCGCGGCTGACGGGAAGGAGGCGGAGGGGCTCGGACGTGTCGTGGGCGTGTGTGTGTGCGTGCGTGTGTGTGTGTGTGTGTGTGTGTGTGTGTGTGTGTGTGTGTGTGTGTGTGTGTGTGTGTGTGTGTGTGTGTGTGTGTGTGTGTGTGTGTGTGTGTGTGTGTGTGTGTGCGTGGATGAGTGTGAGTGTGAATGAGTGTGAGTGCCTCCGTGCTGTCGACATAGCTGATGTAGAGCGCTTCGCCACGCAGCACGGCCTCGCTCGCGCGAAAGACAAGTTCACCTAGAAACCTCGGGAGAAGAAACCTCGCGTCGATCTCGATCCGTCTCGGACCAGTCTCGCGACGGCCTCGACCACTCTCGGCCAGCCTCGACGGCGTCTCCATTCCTCTCGGCCAGTCTCGGGCCAGCGAGGGTCCTCTCGGCCAATCTCGCCTCCGCCGCCGCCACAGGTGAGGTCGGCGTGGACGTTAGGCGCACACGAATGGTTGAAAAGCGACGCCCGCACAAACAGCCCGTAGCCCGCCGGCTCCTCGGCCCCGCCGCCGCCGCCATCGCCGCCGCGCGTGCCAAAGGCGTTCGTCACAACGACGCCTACGCACGGCGCAGAGCGCTGAAGCGACCACCCGCTCGCGGCGCCGACAGCGTGCGCCGCTCTCAAGACACCGATCAGTCGCGCGAGCTGGTCCGTGGTTCGGGCAGTCTCGCCCGCCGCGTGTAGTGCGGAGGAGAGCTTGGCGGCGACGCGGCGGAGCAGCGCTTGCTGCTCCGCCGCTCGGCGGGTGGCGTTGTCGTCGCAGCAGCGAAGCACGGCCTCGAGCGCCTCGAGGAGAAGCATGCTTTCTTGGGTGGATCATGGCCTCTTGGGGCGCGAGTGACATTTGTAGTGGCCCATCCGTGTGCCTAGCGGCAGAGACGCAGCGGGCAGAGAGGCTGCTTCGTGGGGCGGCTGGTGCTGTGTATGTGGCGGGAAGGCCACGCCTCGTCAGGCAGGAGAGCAGCACGCACGAGGAGCAGCCAGCCGGCAGCTAGGATGCCAAGCGCCTGCTGCGCGGCGCCGCTAAAGCCGGCGTCGCAAACAATCACCGCACTCTCGCGCTTGCTGAGGCTAGCCGCCGCTTCGCCGTCGCCTGGCCACGCTGGCGCCCAGACGTCCGGTCTGACCCTGAGGAGTACCTCGGCCTCAGCGATGCCGCGACGTGCGACGTAATATCGGCCGCGAGACGGATCGCTCGCCACCTCGAGGAGCGGATCGCTGCCGTTTGACGCGGCTGTTGCCATTTGGCCGGGCAGAAGCTCGACGGCTGGCAGGTCGAAGCAGGGCGCCACTTAAGGCAAAGAAACCAAAGTCTTTGAGGCTGGCGTCTACCGGAAAAAGTCAACGGGGGATCGATGATCGTCAGTCACGGCAACAAAACAGTCACGATCATCACCTCCGAGGTGGCCACTTACCCAGAGATCAAAAACGCTCGGCCTGGAGCGAAAAAAAGCAAGCGAGTGGTTATTGTAACTGGTATTCTCGATTACCGCGGTACACCAACTAACTCGTACACGTAACGTAAGTAAACCCCCGCCGATGCCCCCTTTCCTCATGCGCCCCGCCCGCAGCTATGGCGACACACCTCAGGAGGTATCGCGGGGCAGAGATGGCTGCTCGAGGTGGAGAGCAAAGCCGCGGATCGGATCACCCTTTTCGAGCGGATGCATTCATTACCTCCTGCGGGACTGGGGCTGGGAGCCCTTCGCGACCATTGACGTGGGCGACGAACTTGACCATCAGGACTCGGGGCGCGTTTACCGATTCGGCGACGCCGCATGATGCGCCACCTAACACGCCTGCCGCCGCCAGTTCAGGAGGGGCTGAGGCATCCACCATCGAGGTCCCCGCCGACGTTTCCCGCGGCCGCCTCGCCGCGCGCTACGGAACCGATTCCTATGCCTGACCTTGAGCCTCGACAGCCTTTGCGCCGCTCTGCACGCCTTAGGGAGCTTGGTCATTTTGCTTGCTCGTTCCTGAGTTACTACGTCGTTCCTACTGCGTGCCTCGCCGTCAACATGTCTGCCGCCCTCATCTCCAATGCCGTCTACTGCGAATCATGTGCCGCCGATTTCTTAGCCTTCGCCGATTGCCTTGGATCCGTCGACACCGCTTTCGACACTTACGATCCTATTGGCAACGAATTCTCACTCATCGCCGCCGCTCGGATTGCCTGCACTGCATACGCAGTTACCCTCACCGCCGATCAGGGTGCACTACGAGTGCCTAAAAGCTACCGGCAGGCCATGTCTAGCCCTCAAGTCGAGCAATGGCGCGAGGCTATTAACAAGGAACTTTCTGGTCTCATTGCCCTCGACACCTGGGACCTTGTACCGATTGTTTCGATTCCTGCCGCCGCCAATATTATGCACTGCCACTTTGTATTTGCAATCAAGCGCAAGGCTGACGGTTCAATCGACAAGTTCAAGGCACGCCTTGTCGCCGACGGCAACACTCAGAAGCATGGTGTCGACTTCAATCGCGTCTTCGCTACCGTCGTCAAGGCCCTTACTATCCGACTCGTACTCGCCATCGCCGCCGCCCGTGATTACAATTCCGGCTTCCGCTGTGCGCTGAGCAACACGAAGACCTCATCCCCTCCAAGGCAGGACTGCGTATCCGCTGACGCGGCAGCAACTAGGCGCAGGATGCAGGCCACGTCCGCCCCTGATTCGCAGACCCGACCCGTGCGCAAAATAGCGGGCATGCAGCACTTGCGTGGCCCGCCGGGCCGACCGGAGCAGCCTCGTCCGCCGCACAGCCCGCACGCAGCGTTGCAGCAGACCTGGCGGCTTGGGTGCACGACGCCGGCCGAGCAGTCGGCGGTTCGACGAGAGGAGGCCGTGTGCTCCACGGGCCTGATGGTGAGGTTGAGACGGTGGTCGAGGACCAGGCGGTGCGCCTCGGCCGACGGCGAGAAGGACCAGAGCATGCCGATTGTGTGTATGTGCGGGAGTTGGTTTGTCGGGAGCTCGGGAGGGAGGGGGAGGCTGCTCGCCCACGTGCACCGACCGGGCCAATGCTTGCACTTTGATTGAATGCCGTGGGGCTCCTTCCTGCCCGTGTCCGTCCGGGTGTGGAGATGCGAGCGAGGGTCGCCCTCCCTTGTACCACCAGAAAGAAAAGAAAAAATCCAGATACCAGATAGCCCCACCACTTACCTGCGCGCAAGGATTTTCTTTGTTCGCGGCCTGGAGGGGGTGTTTTTCTTTGTTTGTGGCGTCGGCGGCGCGGCGCAGTTCCACTACCCATGCGGCGTCGCCATCAGTCCCGATGGCAGCGCTCTTCTGGTTTGCTCGGGGCCCTCCCTCCGCCAGGTCTGCGTGTCGGCGCCTCCTCCGCCTCCCACCTTCGCGCCGATTGTGGTGCCGCCCTCGACCCTGGTGGCAGACCTCGGAAAGACTTGTGGCGACGCCTCCCTCCCAGAGGGCAAGGTCACCTTCATCGTCGGCGATGACGAGGAGCGCCTCGAAAGCGTGAGCAAGAACGTGCTTCGCATTCGGTCCGTGTTCTTTCGGACCATGTTCGGCATCGGCATGAAGGAGCGCGACGCCGCCGAGGTCACGGTGTCCAACACCGACCTCGCCACCTTCACCGCCCTCGTCCGCTACCTCTGCACCGACCAGCTCGACCTCGGCGAGGAGGAGGGCGGCAGAGCGCAGCGCGCGCTCGACCTGCGGGAGCTGGCGCAGATGTACCAGGTGCGGCGCCTCGAGCTGCTCTGCGCGCAGGCGCTGCAGGAGAGCGTGGGGCCGGCGACCGCCGTGCCGCTGCTCGAGGCGGCGCACACGCTGGGCGACGGGCGGCTCCTCGCGCAGTGCCGCCGCTACGTGGCCGACAACGCCGCCGAGGTGCGGGCGAGCGGCGGCGTGGAGCAGCTGCGCGACCTCGGCGTGGCCAAGGGGCTGCTCGGCGACGCGCTCGACCAGGTGGCGGAGCTGAAGGGGACGGTGGCGGCGCTCAAGGGGAACCGCACGCAGGGCTGAGGTGCGGTTTGCACATTGTTTGTGTCAGCGGCTTTAGGGCGTGCGCCTGGCGTGCGCGAGAGTTTGCATGTTTGTACGTGCGTGTAGGTGGGCACATATTTGTGTGGGCATTTGCAGGACTAGGTCCAGCCCTGGGTGGCGCAAGATCTGACGTTCTGTGACAATCGTCAGATCCGAGTTTTTCTCGTTGTTTTGTCGCTCGCTCCGCTCGCCACCTCACGCTCCGTAGTCCGGCCATGGCCAGTACCCCGCGTCTCAGTGAGACGCGTGGTACCATCCAACTCCGGTCGAAGGGCTCGAATGCGCTCAGCCTCAGGAGGGACAAAACCACGCGAATTCTGCACGCCTCGCTGCACCGCTGGCTTGACTGAATCAGGCAGCAGCAGGCTGCTGCTGTTGCCACAGCAGCAGTCTGCTGCGGCCCTAATACGCAAGTTAATGACTAGCAGCACTGCCGGGGGCATACGAGCCGCCACAGCCGGTGTGCGGCTGTGCACTGCCACCTGCCCGCGGCTACGCACAATGTGCGCTCGCATTGGATGAGCCCTGCTGATGGACCTGCGTCGCCTAGCTGCACGAGAGCAATGCCGCAGGCGGTGGCCGTGGCATACACTGCGAGCACACTCGGTGCAGCTGCGAGGTGCAGCAAGAGCACGTCGTTCCTGCCTCTGATGCCACTCTCGCGGCTTGTAGCGCGTCACTCGCGCATGCTCTCCAGGAGCTATGGCGGGCGCGTGTGTGGGGCTGTAGCCTGTGTTTGGCCGGTTCTGACCCGTTTACTATCAGTATCATGCCCGGGCCACAAAAAATCGCACACGGGTAGCGGCTCAGGGGCCCAGTAAGTCGCGGAATCGCCAAATGTCACAACCTGCGCCACCCAGGGCTGGACCTAGTCGCAGATCGAGGGATCACTTTCGACTAGTCTTTGTCGTTTTGTTTTCCATTTCTTTTCGGATCCCGACATTTCCGTTTCTTGGGTACCCCCTGTGAAAGAAAGGAATGTTTTACAACAACGCTCTCACACAACACTAGGCAATATGCCTTGGGCGGCACAAAAGCTGCAGGCTGGCGTGGTTCTGGATCTTGCGCTTCTTGGGCGCGGGTGACTAAGTTATGCCCTCCTCACTCGGCGGAGGGTCGCCGGCAGATTCGGCGGGAGGCGCCTGCTCCTTCGTTGCGCGCGGTCGCCTCGTCCTCCAGCCTCGCGCTCTCCTCGAAACCCGCCTTCACAAACGCCACACAAACCTACCGTCCTGCCTCTTGCCACTCTCGGATCTGCCTGCGCAGCATGTGGTGCGGGAAGAGCCCCGTGTACTCGAGCGCCTCGCCCGTCATCGGGCTCGTCGACTTGGTCGCGAGCCAGCGCTCCATCGCCGTCCGCTCGTAGGCGTGCCCGTCCGCCGCCATCACCGGGTCGCTCATGACCTCGGTCGTGATCGGGCAGATGAAGTCGGCCGGCGGCTCCTCCTCCTCCACCAAAGGCGGCCTCTCTGCAGCCAAGGAGGACGACCCCTGCTCGTCGGGCGCCCGCCTCTCCTCCTCCAGCCTCGCGCTCTCCTCGAGCGCCGCCGCCAACTCCGCCTCCTCCGCCGCCGCCAGCGCTGCCCCATCCTCGGGCACCTGCGAGGGCCCAGCGCCGCCCCCGCCGCCCTTCCCCTTCTTCTTCTTCTTCTTCTTCCCCTTCTTGCTCTCCTTGGCGCGCTCCCCCTCCTTCTCCGCCTCCTCCTCCGCCAGCAGCGCCTCGGCATGCCGCGCCGCCTCCGCCTCTGCCGCCGCTCTCTCTGCATCCCTCGCCGCTGCCTCCGCCACCGCCTCCGCCGCCGCATGCTCCTCGAGGGCGCGCACGCACCCGGCGTGGCCCCTCTCCTTGGCCATCTGCAGCGCGGACTTGCCGTTCTCAGCGCGCAGCGCCGTGTCTGCGCCCGCCCGCAGCAGGCGGAGCACGATGGCGGGGGAATCGCTGAGTGCGGCGTCTATGAGCGCGGTGCCGCCGTCGCTGTTCTGCTTGTTGACCTCCGCGCCGCGCTGCATCAGCAAGTCGACCACCCGCTCGTGGCCGTTGGTGGCGGCGGCCATCAGCGCGGTGCCGCCGTCGCTAGTCTGCAGGTTGATCTCCGCGCCGTGCTGCATCAGCAAGTCGACCACCCGCTCGTGGCCGTTGCTGGCGGCGTCAATGAGCGCGGTGCGGCCATCGCTGTCCGGCTTGTCGACCTCCGCGCCGCGCTGAATCAGCAGCTCGACCACCCGCTCGTGGCCATTGCTGGCGGCGAGCATCAGCGCGGTGTGGCCGCTGCTGTCCTGCAGGTTGATCTCTGCCCCGCGCTGCAGCAGCAGCTCGACCGCTGGCTCGTGGCCGTTGCGGGCGGCGCCCATCAACGCGGTAATGCCGGAAGCCTCGTTCGCCGCGTACACCACCCCGAAGGTCGCATTGACCCGCCCGCCGCTGTCAAGCCACGCCAGCAGCGCCGCCTCGTCGCCGTGGAGAGCTGCTCGAGCAAGTCCGTCGATAGCAAATTCATGGAGGCAAACAGGGTGAGGCAGGGCGGACAGCGAGCCGGAAGAGGCCGCGGCCCCCGCTCCCGCCGCCGCCTCGCCGGAGGAAGCGCCGCCCACGCCGCCGGCTGCCGCCTCGCGCTGGCTCGCAGTCACCTCCGCGATGTGCTGCCGGAAAGCGTCGACGCACGCGCTGTGACCCTCCTCCTTGGCATACTGCAGCGCGGACTTCCCGTTCTCAGCGCGCAGCTTTGTATCCGCGCCCGCCCGCAGCAGGCGGAGCACGATGGCGGTGTTGCCGTTGCCAGTGCGGTGCCGCCGTAGATGGTCTGCTTGTTGATCTCCGCACCGCGCTGAAGCAGCAGGTCGATCACTCGCTCGTGGCCTTGGCTGGCTGCGTACATCAGCGCAGTTTCGCCGTCGCAGTCCTGCTTGTTGACCTCCGCCCCTCGCAGCAGCAGCTCGACCACCCGCTCGTGGCCTCTGTCGGCGGCGGCCATCAGCGCGGTAGTGCCGTCGCAGTCCTGCAGGTCGACCGCCGCGCCGCGCTGCAGCAGCAGGTCGACCACCCGCGCGTGGCCGGTGCTGGCGGCGTACATCAGCGCGGTCCAGCCGTCGCCCTGCAAGTCGACCTCCGCGCCGCGCTGCAGCAGCAGCTCGACCGCTGGCACGTGGCCGTTGGAGGCGGCGGTCATCAGCGCGGTGTCGCCCCCGCGAGTTGCATTGACCTGCCCGCCGCTCGCAAGCCACACCAACAGCGCCAACTTTTCGCCTCGTCTCGCCGCTGTCCACACCGATTCGGGAAGGCTGCCGGCCTCCGCCGCGATGACTGCCTCTGGCACCTCACGGGGTGCTTCCTCCTGCATCGCGGCGTCCAGGCCGGGGCGGCTGACTGTTCTTCGCCTCTGAAAAACCCGCGCTTTTCTTTTTTCTCACAGCTTGTCGGGGCTGCCTTCCATCCGCCGCTGCTCAGGCCGGGGGAGGGGGGGAGACCTCCTGTTCCTCGCGGAACGGGAGCAGCCCCCTCCTTGCCCGGTCTGCGAAGCAGGGTGGTGGTCGTGCCATCTTCGCTTCAAAACGACCACGCCGCAATCGTCGCCGGCGTGCGACACGTTCCCGGAGGCCGGACTGTCCTGGTCGAGAGTGTGTGCCGCCAAGGCGGGACTACTCGGGGACAGTGCCGACGGGACGCGGCTCGAAGGGTGTGGCTCCGCAGCGCGGCTGGCACTCGTCGCAGAGGCCTCACCTTCGAAAAGTCGGGCATGGCTCCACCCGCAACTTGCTCGCTAACACGCGCGCACCGCCGAGCCTGCGGCGGGCGCGCTGCGGCCGCACGTCTAACTTCGTCATAGTGCCACGACGTGCGGCCTAGATTTAGCCCACGCGCCTCTGCTCGCAAACACTCACCCATTGAATTGTCACTGCCCGTGAGTGCGAGATTAGGGCTAGCCGCAGGCAGCTAGCCCGTGAGGAGAGCGTCCATAGACACCTCACTTAGACCCCACACACGGTCTCGTCCGTGCCTCGCCGGCCGGAGAGATTGCTGGAGGTAGAGCAAGCCTGCTCTAGCCTCGCATGTCACTTCCTGTCGTCTGTTGTTTGAGTTGTGCCCTTGTTTGTGCCCTTGGCACCGTGGAGTGCTGGGGGGGGCGACAGGGAGGATGTGGCCCTGAGTTATGTGTACGCCGACTCAGGGTGTGTGGCAGCCCGCTGGCTGTGTGTCTTGTGAGCTTGTTTGTGTCTGTGTGTCGCTCGTGCGTGTCGTCATCATCTGTCCACGCCCGCCCGCACGCCCCTGCGCCAGGTGCATGACATGCTGGGCATCATGCCGCGCTCGGTCGCAGCTCTGTACTTCAACGCCCATCCGGAAGTCGAGGCCTGCGTGCCGCGAGAAGCGTACGCACCCTTCTGCCCACCAAAGTACATGGCCCGGAGCGGCGGGGCGCGCGCGGACGTGCCGCCCGAGTGCCTGCTCAACCGTTTTCTCCGTCGGAGAGGGGTGGTTCCGAACGATACGCTGGGCAGCCAGCGAGTGTGCTTGTGGCTTGATCCATCGACCGTGCGCTACCTTCTGCGACACTGCGTCGGCGCGAAGCTGCGCTCACTCGTGGACGCTGCGCCCACGGATTTTGTGGCCCCGGCTAAAGAGCATGCTGGAGCTGGAGCTGCGCCATCGATTTCCTCACAATTTCACGCCGAGCTGAGAGAAGGTTGCGCCATCCGCTCGTTGGCAGCTCAGCCCGCCAGGCATGTGGCAACGACGAACCGTCATGCGTCAACCGAGCGGGGCTCGCGTTTGTGGCATGCGAGTAGAACGCAACGCAACCATGTGATTGTTTGAATTCCACACACTTTTTTCACCTATCACCTTCACAAAATACCGTAAAAGACTTGCATGTGGCTAGTCATGTTGCCAATAGAGCGCCTCTCGTGTTTTCGTGTAGCGAGCTCGCCTCGTCGCCTGGCGGAAACTCGTGTAGAGTTGAGGGGGGGGGGGGGGGTAGAGAGAGCTGGAGGCTCGACAGTTTCGAGTTTGCGGGGCCGGGGGGTCACGAAATCATCAGCACACGGAGGGCCCGGGTGCTCAATAGTCGCACTGGCAGTCCTCGGCGGGGATTGGCCCAAAGAGCAGGCGGCGCCGTGCTCTCCACCTTACCCTAGCCCCTTATCTTACGGCCTGTTCCGTTCCGTCCTGATTGTCGTCCGTCCACACCTGAGGTAAACGCCGTGCTGCATGGGCGTGGAGGCAGAAGTTCAGGAAAACGGTCACAGGGGTTAGCACGAGGGCCACTGGCACGCCGATCACCAAATAGATGAACAGCAGGATGCGAAGGATCCAGTAGACGACCACCGAGAGCACACCAGACCCGAGCCGCACGCCGAGCCACCGCCCGCGAGCAGACCAGCGGTACACGCGGAAGCGAAACATCGAGGCGAGCGCGGCGTCGTCGAACGAGACGTATTCGAAATCCCCGTCGAATCCCTCGCCGAATCGGTAAACGCGCCCCGAGTCCTGATGGTCAAGTTCGTCGCCCACGTCAATGGTCGCGAAGGGCTCCCAGCCCCAGTCCCGCAGGAGGTAATGAATGCATATAAAATGAACTCGGGGGCACGGGACGCGGCACAAACGTAATGAATGCATCCGCTCGAAAAGGGTGATCCGATCCGCGGCTTTGCTCTCCACCTCGAGCAGCCATCTCTGCCCCGCGATACCTCCTGAGGTGTGTCGCCATAGCTGCGGGCGGGGAGAAAGAGGGGGCATCGGCGGGGGTTTACTTACGTATACGTGTACGAGTTAGTTGGTGTACCGCGGTAATCGAGAATACCAGTTACAATAACCACTCGCTTGCTTTTTTCGCTCCAGGCCGAGCGTTTTTGATCTCTGGGTAAGTGGCCACCTCGGAGGTGATGATCGTGACTGTTTTGTTGCGGGGGGTGGGGGTGAGAGGAGGTTTCCGAGGAGTAAGCGCGAGAAAACGCGCAACCAGAGGAAGGCTGCCCGGCGTGAGGGTGGGCGGCCGGACTCGGGCACTAAGCGTGTGATGGGGAGGGGACGATGGGGGGGACGCAGACGAAAAGCTGGCGCGGGTCGGGGTACGTTGTTTGCTTCGGTAGTACGTGTCAAAGTTGCTATGCCTGCCTTTTTCTCACCTGGAAGAGCCCCCGCTCCCCCCCCCCCCTCCCCCCCTTCCCCCTCCTCCACCGGGCCCGGTCCGGCCGACACGGCGCACGGTGTACCCTCGGCTGTCCCCTGCAGGTGAGGGAAAGGCACAATCCAGCGAACGATGGGCTTGCCCATTCCGGAGTGGTTCGATCCCACACAAACCCGAGACGGTGACGAGAAGCGTTCCGGTGATCTCAGGCCCAGTGAGGTAGTGCACCGGTCTAACTCGGATCCTGCTGAACAAGCTCCTCTTGTAGCTCGATCGGTCACACCGCCATCGCCGTCGGGGAGAGGGGGGACGACACTGCTTCGGCAGCGTGCACCTCGATCCTGTACCGTGTTTGTTATGACCCCCCCCAATGAACACACCAGTGAGGGTGGGCGAGACGATCGAGGGGTCCCGTACCATGCGGAATCGACCCTATCCAGTGCTCAAGTGCTCAAGATACGCGCCTACACGTGAGTCTGGTCATTTTTGACCCACTTTCCGGGTTTGCCGCCGCTACTCGCCGCGTGCAGCACGGCCATAGACATTATAATGCCTCTCCTCGCACTCCTCGCGGTCGCGGCGCACGCGCCAGCCCTCCACCGCCCGCGCCTCGCGCGTGCAGTGCAGACCGTTCGCGTCTCGCTTCCAGCGCGCGCTCTCGCCGCCAGCGACGCCGACGACGCCGCGCAGCTGCCACCGGCTCTGCTGCCGCCACCCCAGCGGCGGCGCACGCTCGACCGTGAGCTGCGCTCGATCGCGCTGCCGTCCCTGGCAGCGCTCTCGTGTGAGAACCTCCTCTCGCTCGTCGACACGCTCTACCTCGGCAGGCTCGGTGCGGCGGAGCTCGGCGCCGCCGGCATCGGCATCGCCGCCACCTATTCAATCGCGAAGCTCTTCGGCGACCCGCTGACCAAGACGTCGACGTCGCTCGTCGCCGGCGCCGAGGGCGACGCGCTCCTCTCCTCCGTCATCGCCGCGCTCGCTCTCGCGCTCTTCTTGGGCCTCGTCCAGACGGCTGTCTTCACGGCCTTTGCCCCAAAGATTGTCGCCGGCTTTGGTGCCTCCGCGGGGTCCCCCCTCGCCGCGCCCGCCGCGGCGTACCTGCGCCTCCGCTCGATCGGCGCGCCCGCGGTGACGCTCCAGCTCGTGATGCAGGGGCTGTACCGCGGGCTCGGCGACACTCTCACGCCGCTGCTCTGTACGCTCGCGGGCGCCGCCGTCAACGCGGCCCGCGGCCCTAGAGCCCGTGAGACATGGCGTTGTATTCAAACCGCCGCTCAGACGCGTACTCCGCTGTACTGCGCGCGGTGTCCCGCTGTCTCCGCTGCCCTCGTATTCACGCGGTGCTGTCAACGCACTGCGCGATACCGTCTTCACGCCCCGACATCGGCGTATTCGCACGCTAGGCCCTCGACCCGATTCTCATCTTCGGGTGCGGCCTCGGCTGCTCGGGCGCGGCCGCCGCGACGGCGGCGGCGAACTATGTCTCCGCCCTGCCGCTGCTACTCCTGCTGCTGCGGAGGCTCGCTCGCGAAGGCGGCAGCAAAGGGCGCGGCGTGCGGTTGCCACCGCCCGCCGCTCTGAGCGCCGCGGCGCGAGGGTACCTGGGCGCTGGCTCCGCCATCTACGTGCGCACGGTTGGCAAGCTGTGGGGGTACTCTTACGCCGCGCGCGCGGCGGCGTCGCTCGGTTCGGTGCCCGCTGCGGCGTACGCGCTGACCTTCCAGCTGGGCGTGGCGACGACGCAGCTGTGCGAGGCTGTCTCGCTGGCGATGCAGGCGCTGCTGTCTCGCGAGCTGAACAGGCGCTCTGCCCTGCTGCCTCCTCGGGGCGGCGACGAGGGCGACGAGGGCGACGAGGGCTCGCCGCCCGCCGCCTCCGCCGCCTCCGCCGCCTCCGCCGCCTCCGCCGCCTCCGCCGCCTCCGCCGCCGCTACCGCCGCTACCGCCGCTACCGCCGCCGAGGCGGCGCAGTGCGTGGCGGGCGCGCGGTTTGTGCTGCGGCGGGGGCTGCAGCTCGGGGGAGGCCTCGCCGCCGCCCTGTCGATAGCGACGTGGTCTGTACGCGGCACTGCGGTCGGCATTCTGACCACGTCGGCCGAGGTGCGCGCGGCGGCGATCGCCGTCATGCCGGCGGTGCTGATCACGCAGGTGCTCCTCTCGGCTCCTCTCGGCTCCTCTCGGCTCCTCTTGGCTCCTCTCGGCTCCTCTCGGCTCCTCTCGGCTCCTCTCGGCTCCTCTCGGCTCCTCTCGGCTCCTCTCGGCTCCTCTCGGCTCCTCTCGGCTCCTCTCGGCTCCTCTCGGCTCCTCTCGGCACATCTATCTCGGCTCCGCTCGGCTCATCGCGCGGTGCATCTCGCAGGTGCTCAAGGGCCTCGCGTACCCCGCCAACGCCGTGCTCATGGGCGGGCGCGACTGGATCGGCTCGACTGCCGCTATGTGGGCCTCGAGCGCGGTGCTCGTGCTGCTCCTCTCGCGCCAGGTCTTTGGCAGCGGCCTGCTCGCGGTGTGGGCGTCGCTCGCGGCTTGCTTCGGCATGCAGGTCGTCATGGCGCTCGGCCGCGTCGCGAGCAAGACCGGGCCGTGGGGCGCGCTGAGATGAGCGACGAAACATAGAGTCAGTGGCCTCTGAGAGGAGGACGCTGAGCTCGCTGGGCGGCGCGCGCGAAGTGCAGACCGACGCTGGGCATTCGCCGCGCGCGCTGTGGCGGCCCTGTGACTCGTGATCAACCTGTCTAGGGGCCGTAACTCCTCTAACCGCCAGGAACCAGAGTCACTACCAAACATACCGTACGGCCTACGCCTACGGTACAACCGAGAGCTTACGTAGCAGCTTGTACACCCCTCTGCACACCGTGGCTCGAAGTCCTCTTGGGACTTGGCGCTTGCACGCGCGGCCAACACACACACACCATACCCAAACGCAGAGAGTCACACCATGCACATGCTCAATGTGATATCCCGCACGAGGGTAATCGCTGCGCGGTCACCTCCCTCCGGCGTGGCGGCGGCGAAGATATGTTGTCGGCAGCGTGCGGCAGCTTTGTCTGAAACAAGGGAGGGTGCCGTCAAATCGGGCTCCAAGAGACAACGAGGGCGCCGGAAGCGCACCGCGACAAAGTACATCGACAGGGCGAAAAATGCGGCGTACATCACCACGGCAGCGGCAGCGAGGGTGACCGCGGCGCTGAGAGCTCTGTGACCCGCCTCCTCGTCGATGTGCATGCGAAAGAGCGCGGCAGAGAGGAGGAACGCCGACAGGTATGCACCAGTACTTCGCCGCGTGGGCATTGGCCGTGAGTCAGAGTTCGACTGGTGGCGTCACAGGTCGCTTCCGTCCACGCCCCACGCCGCCTACCCGCCAGGAGGCCCTCGCGTTCAGAGCTGTGAAAGATTGCGGGCTGCGCACAAAAGTTCCAGGCCCTCCCCTCCCCGTCTTTGCCCCAACCCCGCATGCCCTTACCCCTACCCTTGCTGCCCTTGCTCCGTCCCTTGCCCCTGCGCCACCTACGCCCACCGGGCGGTCCTCCTGCGCTGAGCAGCTGAGTGAGCAACTGAGCGCTCCTCGATCTCATCCTCCCCGCCCTCGCCCTGCGTGCCGACGTCGCGCGTAGCGCTGCCAGCCATAGCCGCATGGCGCTGCCAATGGCTGCGCTTTAGTTAACCTCCGAGACGGTGACGGGATGCTGGCTCTGTGGTCTCAGGCCCAGTGAGGTAGTGCACGAGACTATCCCGGATCCTGCTGAACAAGCTCCTCTTGTAGCTCGATCGGTCACACCGCCATCGCCGTCGGGGAGAGGGGGGGCGACACTGCTTCGGCAGCGTGCACCTCGATCCTGTACCGTGTTTGTTATGACCCCCCCCAATGAACACACCAGTGAGGGAGGGCGAGACGATCGAGGGGTCCCGTACCATGCGGAATCGACCCTATCCAGTGCTCAAGTGCTCAAGTTAACCTAGACCGGGGCCGCGGCGGCGGGAGGCACATCTCTCTCTAGGCTGCCTCTCGCCCGCCCCTGCCTCTCACCAGCCCCCCCAGCGCAGCCGGCCGTAGCCGGTGGAGCGAGCCCACGCCTGACGACCAGCAGCCGAGATGACCCGAGATGACCCGAGATGACCCGAGATGACCCGAGATGACCCGAGATTATCCACGCCTGACGACCAGCAGCCCAGTCCCATCTCGGGCAATCTCGGGTAATCTCGGGTGATCTCGGATAATCTCGGGTGGTCTCGGATAATCTCGGGTGATCTCGCGCGCTCTCGCCTGGCCTCGGGCCAACTGGGGTCATCTCGGGTTGCTCTCGGTTGCTCTCGGTTGCTCTCGGTTGCTCTCGGGGTGCTCTCGCCTGCCCTCGGACCGCGGCTCTCACTCGAGCCCGAACTGCCCATCAGACGTGCCGGAACCGTCCGACTATAGCGACTAGCACACCTCTGTCAAGAGTCCCCAGAGACCCCGACGAGTCACACAGCCCACCTGTGTGATGCACGCCCTGCGAGCGGGGCGGGGTGCGCACTGTGCCCTCTGTACGTTCGTGCGGGTCGCCCATCGTCTCTCCTGGAGATGCCCGCTCTATTTATTTATTCCTGATTTATTCCCCGGCCCTGGATGTGAGGTTGCCTGCTGCCTCCAAGTCGCAAGTGCTCCAAGTGCCGCGCCCGTTGGGTTTTCCCCTTATTCGAGGACAACCATCTGTCATCGCGCGATGGCATTGGAGAGGTAAAATGCGGAGATTCTAGTTCGCAGGGAGATGTGGGCTCACAAGCAAGCCTCAAGTAAAGGTAGGTTGTACTCGAGTAGGGATCGAGTGGGCTTGGCCGGGGGGGGGGGGGGGGTTCGATCGAGGTTGTGTCAGTGTGAGTGTGAAGCCCCCTTTGCCAACCGCAGATCATGTTGTGTTTTGCCTTTAAGGAGATCATAGGGCACGACTCCTTGTCCGCGAACGTGGGAAGCGCCCGTCCCCACACTGGGGACCCGCCCATGTCGGCGCGTGGGCGGGGGGGGGGGGGGGGGGTCTTCACAAATGGCTGCGCGCGCGTCGAGGAGCTCGACGATGAGTACGACGACGACGACGACGCGCTGTACGACGACGACGACGAGATGGTGGACGACGAGAGCGTCGAGCGTCGTCAACGTCATCACACTCCGCGAGCTGCAGCCGCTGCCGCCGCCGCGCGGAGGAACGCAGGACCACCAGCACCACAATGGGCGCGTCGTCATGTACGGAAGGTGGTGATCACAGATCGTGTGTCGCGTTTTTGTTTAGTCGTTGGGCTCGAGAGAGTAACTAAAAGTACGCACGGTAAGGTCACAACCGAGGCGGTATATCGGTGTGATGTTATCGAAATCTCCTCGAATCTCCCCCGATACTCGCGTCCCAGGCGAGTCGTGGGAGGCTGGCCGTGGACTTTGGAAGCTGGCTCATGCCATGCCACTGGCGCACAATGAGTCGCTGCAGCGGAACAGCCACCGCGGTCACGTTGGCCCGGTGCAAGGCACAGCCAAGGCTGCACTCGGCCGTGCCCAACCATGCGGCGGTAGCTGTTCGCGGAGCGCATGGCGGCGGCCACGAGGGCGCAAAGTAGGCCGCCGCCGCCGCCCGCGTCATGAGCGACCACACGTCCTTGAAGCAGCTTGTGTTCGGTGAGCTGACGTCGGTGAGCGCTAGACTACTTTCTGCGTGCCGAACCAAATTCCACCACGCCGGCCACTCGGGCAGCCGCGTTTGGTACGCAACGTCCGGGCGCAGCCGCAGAAGGAAGCGATAGAGCGAGTGGCGCTCCCGTTCACGCCGCTGCACTTTCTGGAAGCAGCGATGAAGACCTTCGTTTTCGTTCGTGGTCGTCTCGACGTCCACGCTGATCGGACTGAAGATGTGCATCCACTGCTCAATGCGATCTTTCGTCATCGTCGTCGTGCTGTTTTTCCTCGGGCCTGTCTGGCTCTGATATTTTGGATGCCATGCGTTCCGTGGCGGATAGCGATCATCAATCACAGGACTGAGGGCGGAGAATACATCGACATGATCACGAATCGGCGCAATCATCGTCTCGAATATGTTGGACGCGGTGATGCTGAGCGTCCGAACGTGGCCGGTAATGCAAGCGGCGACCGCGGGCGGCTGCCAAGTGTCGCCCACCATGCGGACTCGCGGGGATCGGGCAGGGAGAGAGCGACGCGGCGAGCGCAAGGCGGCGAGCGAGCGTGCCTGTGCGGCGTCTTGTTCACAGCCTTGTTATTGAGAAGAAAATACGTCCGATGGCGCTGTGCGCTGGTCTGTGAGAGGTTGAGGTGCGAGCCCTGGAGGCCCTGGGAATGGGGGGAGACTAACACACAATAAGTTTTTTTAAGGGTTGCCCGGCCGGGTTGCTGCGCAAATCTCGCGCTGCGCTAGGCTCAGAGCGAGTTCGCGCTGCGCTAGGCTAAGACGGCCGTGGGCCGCCGGGGTGAGGACCCCACCGGCACCGCTCCTTGGCGGTTCGCGCATCGCCTTCGGGAGGGAGGTCAGGCTCGGCAAGCTTGTCGGTCGTGCTCTACCTCAGCCCTCAGCCGAAGCTGGGGCCGGTCCCGTAGCCGTTGTCACCCGCGATCCGTTTGGCAGTCCCCACTCGCAGGCTGCGTCCCGAACAGCCTTGCTGCTATCGTGGGGACCGATGCTGACCGCGCACGTTTGTCCGTGCACCGCGTACACCGTGTGAGGGAAGGGTGATAGCACGCGCGGGGCCGGCCCCAGCATGTACAACTGTATGTCTTCGATGGGCGCCCACGAGTTTTGCGCCGATTTTGAACGTTGTGGGGAAAGGGACAGAGGCGTCGAGAGGCCCCGCTCTCTCCTTCGCATAGCGGTTACCTCTTCGGACGGATCGCTGGTCGAGCGACCCGGGGGGTGCCCCGCGCGCCCGACCCAGGCGCGAGAAACGAATCTGCGAGGCGTGCGTGGCCGCGTACGTATGCCGGCCCGAACGAATGGGTGGGTGGGGTAGCAGTGGGGAGGAGTGAGTGGGGCGGAATACGGGCGGGGATCGGCTTCTTACTTACTTACACAGCCCTTCCTCGCAGCGAGCCCCACTCCAACCCACCCGCGGTCTCTCTTTCGCTACGTGTTCGACGTCGTCGAACAACGTTCGACCATGGCACTGTTCACAGCGCGCGCGGACGGCCGTTCTGCGACTCCCGCTCCGCTGGACTTTTGTAAAGCACGCTTGTGGCAAGTTACAGACGCTAGTATCGACCTCAGGGACCCAAACATGAATTAATAATTAAGGCTCAAAGTATGGTCGAACAACCGTCGAACAAACAGGTCGAACAACGAAAAGAGACTAGTGCGACCGCTAGACGGCGGTCTCCGCCGGCCCCAAGGCTGCCCAGCCCCAGTACCACACCGGCCACGTACACCGTGGCGCTGGAGTCGGTCAGTGAGGCACTAGACGGGCTACGGAACCATGCGCGCGCCGGCCGGACAGGCTGCGCGCAGCGGCCGCACCGCCTCGATTTCGCACCCGGGCATACTGGCCCCCTGAGGGGCCAGTATGCCCGGTGACAAGCCCAGCCATCGCCCAGCGCCCCATATCGACGGGGACCACGCAAAAAAAGCGCACCTACGACTAGGGTGAGCGCGTGAGGGCGTCGGTGTGGGCCGCGGGCGGGCTGCCAGGAGGGCGCGGGTGGGAGCATGGGAGATGCACCACCGCTCGACGAAGACGCGCCCGACGAAGCCCTGCTAGCGGAGGATGGTCGATCCTCACCTACTAGCGTCGGGCGTGTGCGAAAAAGAGCGCAAATCGGAGCATAACTCGCGCGCGGCTGGGAAAGGGGTGTGGCACCCCTCCGAAGGCGCCTCGCGAGGAGCAGCTGCTGCCTCCAAACGCGCTCGGGCAGCACGTCGGCGCGCCTGCGGGGTTGGGGAGGTGAAACTATGCTTGCTGGCACGCGCATCCCGCACCACCCCCACGTCCGCGCGCACCATGCCGCCATCCCACCTCACAGCCAAGCGCCATCGCCGTCGGACGCGGCGACGCCGAGCGGTGGCCTCGCAGACGACGAGCGCGATGAGGCCGCCGCGCCGCCGGGGTGGCCGGCGCGTGCCAGCCGCTGGCCCGTCCAGCATGGCGGGGCCGGCTAGCCCATCCTGGCCCGCGCGCTTGCCGACGCGAGAAGATCGCGCGAGAGGGCAAAATGTGGCAAAATCGCCCAGCTAAGCGTGCGATTTCTGCGCAAAGCTCGCCGTGGCCCCGCGCGGCCGTACCTACTCGCGTTTTCGGCCCACCACCTTCGACCGAGCTCACCACCATCACGTACGCACGTTTTATCGTGTGCGCGACGCGCTCGATCACCACCGCGGTGGCGCCAAGAGCGCCTTTTCAACACGCTGCGATGGCGGTGTGCAGCACCAGCCGTCACGGCTTCCTGCGCCGCGTCGAGGCTCGTCGAGCGGGCGCGTAGGTCGACTCGACACGACACGGCCCCAAACATCCCACGTCTCGCTCGCGTTCTGCCAGCTCTCTGCCCACAGTCGCTGCTGCTCACGCTCTCGCCGCGCGTCTCCTTCCTGTGCTGCACGCCCACACGTGAAGCGCTCTTTGGTGGCGCAGGGAAATGGTTTGCCACATGACATGCAGCCGGGTCCCGTAGGTGTAGCACGCAGCCGGGTCCCGAAGGTGTCTCCCAATATCCGCACTTGGAGCACTTGGAGTGCAGTCGGCAACCTCACATCCAGGGCCGGGGAGCTAAGAAGCGCACCCAGCGAGCCGGATGATCGGCATCGGGCTACGGGCTAGAGAGCCCTGACCCCTAGCTAGGGGGGGGGCGCGCATCATCCGCAAGGTCGCTTTTTTCGACAAGCAAAGCTGCGCCCGGGGGCATGACTCAGGTCCTCAGCTTGTCAGAGAGGTCCAAACGGTTCTTTTTGGACGTCGCGCGGTGGGTTCCGGTCGTGCTGGCCGTCCAGGAGTACGTTGGCACCGTCAGGCAAACCGAGGGTCGGTCGATGCAGCCTACTATGAACAGCACGCGCGCGTGGTGGCGCATCGGCGACTTGCTGCTCCTCGACCGGTGGCACGTGCGCAGTCGCGCCTCGCCCGAGCCCAGCCATCGCCAGGCACCCTCGCCAGGGCCCTCCGACGACGTGCGGTCTCCGCCCCGCAGGCGCGCTCATACGAGCGCGGCGACGTGGTGGAGCTCCTCTCCCCATGCGAGGTTGGCGACGTGCTCATTAAGCGGGTGCGCGACTAGCACACCCCACCGATTGCCGCCGAGTCCCAAGAGCGGAGTGTGCCGTCCGCAACCCGCGCCCTCCGCCTCCCCCAGGTGATTGGCGTCGAGGGTGACCTCGTGCGGCCGCGGTGCGGGGACGGTTCGCTGGTGCGGGTACCGCGCGGGCACGTGTGGGTCGAAGGGGACAACGGCCCGTTATCGCACGACTCGAACGCGTTTGGCTGCGTGCCCGCCGGCCTCGTGCAGTCGCGAGTGGCCGCGAAGATCCTCCCGCTCTCTGAGGCCGGCGCCATCGAGTGCCGCCCGCCGCCGCGCGACCGCGTCATACCGAGCCGATACCCGCGCGCGATGAGATATGGGGACTGAATCATGTTGTTCCCGGGAGTTAGGATTTTAGTTTTCGGGCCGTGTCTGGAAAGGTTTCTACATTAAGGTTTCTACATTAATTATGAGACGGCACGGCTCCGTCCTCAAGTCGTCCTCTGCAGCCTCTTCCGCGGACTCCGCTCTCGAGAAGTCGAGTCTTTCCGCCACACCAACAAAAAACGACAAAAAATGAACAAATACGTCTTTTCGTGTTGCTGTTGGTTGGAGGTGTTGCACCGCGGCAAAGTGGGCTGCCCTGCGCCCGGTGCCCGACTCCCCGCGCTTCCCAGCACCCAGGTAACGTGCAGGTCGCGCCCCCCGGGCCCTTTTTTTTGAGTGAGCCTGTCTACGGCTCTAGCTAGGTTCTTCTCGTCGTAAGTAACTCGTGAAGCAGTTTCTGTCTACGTATATAGACTCTCTAGTAAGCTGGCTCTATGTACGTACTTTTAGCTTACTGGGAGAAAAGGGAGAGGGAGGCGCATTGTATGTACAGCTCACCAGGCACAACACGCCCAATCACGGCAGCGGCTTTGATTTGGCGACGGCTCGGAGCCTTCCCCTCGGGTTGGCACGGATGGCCTCCAGCATGGCGCTGCTGCAGGAACGGGCACCGCTGCCGCCAGCCGCGCCCGGACTTGGAGATGAAGCCGGCGATGATCTCGGCAACGGCGGCGGCATGCTACTCAGGCGGGACGGGGAGGGTCGTGGCGGCGCGAGGAGGGCGGGGGGCGGCGGCTGCGAGGGAGGCGGCATAGACGTTTGGGGTGGCTGAGACGCGCACATGCAATAGGCCCCCCAAGCGTCAAGTGGCTGCCCCGCTCCGGTCGGTGCGGCAGCAGTGGTCAGCGGCTGCGGCTGCGGCGGCGGCGGCGGCGGCGGCGGCGGCGGCGGCGGCGGCTGCGGCGGCGGTGGCGGCGGCGGCGAAGGTGGCAACGCCTCAATCTTGTGCCGCAGTTGCTCGACGAAGGAGGCCACCGCGACGCCCGACGCGCTCGAGCGGGTGACGGCGTGCAGCACTGCGCGCATCTCCTCGCCGCGCAGCCCGCTGGTGCCCATCGCCAGCCAGCGGCCGTGCGACAGCCGGCCCACCTAAGGTAAGGTCAGGCAGGGTAACCGTCTCAAAAGATGTAAGTCTGGGTAGGGGGGGCGACCCTTGCGACTCCACGTCTAAACGACAGCCCCACGGCATCAAAAGTGCAAGGCCCGGTGCGCGCGGGCGAGCTGTGTGTGTGTGTGTGTGTGTGTGTGTGTGTGTGTGTGTGTGTGTGTGTGTGTCTCCGTGTCTCCACCTCCTCCTCCGCCATCAGGACAAGCTGCAGCTCCGTCGAGTGGGCGAAGCGGCGCGCCTGCGTGGGGACAGTCACAGCGCCGGGCGTGAACAAGCGCTATTGCGTGGACAACGTGTCTGTGGGACGAAGAGCGCCCGCACCTGCTGCGACGCGCCTTCCGCCCCGGCGGCGGCCTCCGCGAGCACCTTTCTCCAGTGGAGCTCCGCGCGGGCGTGCGCCTGCCCGAGATATGGGGAGATATGGGGAGATATGGGGAGATATGGGCGTGCGCCTGCCCGAAACGGGGGCGGGCAGGAGCAGGCAACCGCGAGTCAAACGATCTGAGCTGCAGATCAGCGCCCACACGGGGCGGGCGGAGGGTGCGCGCGCGCTTCTGTGCAGCTCTCTGGACAGCTCCGACGCGCGCGGCGGCGTGCGGTGGAGCGGCTGGAGAGGTTGTGTGGCGACGGCGGTGTGGCGAGGTGTGGCGAGGTGTGGCGAGGAGTGGCGAGAAATCTAGGCGCGGTGCGACGAGATGCGGCGAGAGATTTACGCGAGAGACGGCGAGCCGCGGCGAGATCTCTAGGCGAGCTGTGGCGAGATATGCCAACTCTGGCGTGATCTGGCGTGATCTGGGGAGATATGGGGAGAGTTGTGGTGGTGCGTGGGGTGGGGGCGCCTGCTCGTTTGCCTCGCGCTGCTCCAGCTGCTCTCTCCTCGCCTTTTCGCTCTCCGCGGCAGCAGCCTCGCTCGCAGCCATCGCCTCCCTCCGTGCCGCCTCCGCCCGCCGCGCCACCGCCGCGCGCTGCACCCGCGGCGTCTCGAGCAAGTCTCCGAGCCGGATAAGGCCCATCTCTGCGGCGCCACGGAGGCGTGGCGGCGTCGCCTCATCGAGGTACACGGCTGTCATCCGCTCGTACTCGGCCTACGGTCAGGCAAGGGGGAGGTCACCCTTCTCGCACTTCTCCACACACACGAGGTGGTGGGGCAAGGGCCAGGCAGCCCTCGCGGCTCGACGTCTAGAAAGACAAGAGCCCGACGGCATTCAGAGTGCAAGGCCCGGTGCGCGTGGGTGAGCGGTGTGTGCGCGTGGGTGAGCGGTGTGTGCGCGTGGGTGAGCGGTGTGTGTGTGTGTGTGTGTGTGTGTGTGCATGTGTGTGTGTGTGTGTGTGTGTGTGTGTGTGTGTGTGTGGTGGTGGTGTGTGTGTGTGTGTGTGTAGGTACTCGGCCTGCAGGTCTGCGTCGCTCAGCAGCGGCAGCGCCGCGTCGCGCGCCTCGATCAGCTCGGTCGGCGGCGCCTGGTCAGGGCACAGGGGTGAAGAAAGGTTGGGCTGGGGGCGGGGTAGCAAGGCCCCCCCGAATGTGGTCGTGTCTCACCAGCAGGGAAGGCACAATAGCGAGCTATTCGGCAACACGTAGGGAGGGGGGTGGGTACGCGGCGGATTGCGGGGAAGAGTCGGGTACGCTGCTTGAGTCACGCCACACAGACACACCAAACACAAGGCGACACGTGTGTGTGTGTGTGTGTGTGTGTGTGTGTGTGTGTGTGTGTGTGTGTGTGTGTGTGTGTGTGTGTGTGTGTGTGTGTGTGTGTGTGTGTGGTGCCTGGCCCGCGACTAGCGCCGCGTCGAGCCCCTGCGACGCTCGCTGATACTCTCGCAGCGACTGCTCCTCGAGCTGCTCCTCCGACTCGCCGTCGTCGCCGCCGCCGCCGCCGCCGCGCCGCCGACCTAGCGCTCACGCCACGCCCTCACGCTCAACGCTGCGCAGGAGAGCCGAGTGTAGGGGGGTGGGCAGTTGGGGGAGGGGGCGGCGCAAGCAGCGCGGCGGCGAGCGCAGAGGGCAGCAGGCAGGTGGGGAGGCCACTGCAGGCGAGGGAGCGAGAGCTAAGCGCGGGCTGAGGCGAGCGAGCAGGCGACGCGCGCCGTCGAGCCTGCGCACCTAACCTCGGCTCAATCTCGACTCCTCTCGGCGACTCTCGGCGCACCGTCGAGCCTCCGCACCAGAGTCTCCGCCAGCGAGGCGAGCCGCGCCTCTAGCTTCGACTCGAGGCTCCTCACGAGGCGCAGCAGCTTGGGCAGCCCGCCCGCCGAGCCGTCCTCGCCCTCCGCCGCCCCCGGCCGCCTCCCCGGCATGCTCGCCGGCCAGCCCGCACCGCCGCCGCGCCGGCTTGCGTCCTTGGCTACGCCGCGTCTCGGCCGCCGCCCGCGCCTCGTGCCCTCGCCCCCTCTCCTGCCCGACGAGGCGAGCCTGAGCGGCACGTCCTCCTCCGTCTCGTACCAGCCGCCGTCCGACGTGAGCACTTCCACAACCTCGTCCATGTCACGCCCTCGCCGCCCTCCCCTACCCCCACGGTACCCGAACCCACCCTCCCCTACCCCACGGTATCCGAACCCACCCTCCCCCACCTCACCCCCCTCGCTCCCGCTCCCGCTCCCGCTCTCCTCCTCCTCCTCCTCCTCCTCCTCGGCCGCCGCGTACTCGTCGCCCTTCCTCGCGTCGCACCGCCGCCGAGCTGCTCCTGATGCCGCCTCCGCCTCCGCCCGCCTGATGCGGCGTCTCGCGCGCGGCCCCGGCGCCAGAGCTCGCAAGCAGAGGACGGCGGACGCGCAGAGCGCGAGCGCCGGCCCTCCCAACAGCAGGGCGCTCGCAACGTAGGGCGCCACATCCGGCGGGACCGTACCGAAGAGATGAAGTTGAGGCGGAGGCGGAGGCGGAGGCGGAGGCGGAGGCGGAGGCGACGCTGCCTGACCAGGAGCGTGGCCCGCAATCGGAGAAGCGGCGGTGGCGCGCGCGGCAGCCGTCGCCAACACCGCCGACGGCGCCTCCGGCCATGCCTCCGGCGTGAGCGACGCCGGCGACGGCCGACGGCTCGCCGCGTCGCCCACCTCCCGCTCGATCCTCGCGAGCGCCTCGAGTGCGGCACGCGACGGAGTCGAGCGGGCAAACGGGACGCGAGCGTACTCTGCGAAGCGGGCGAGCGGCGCCGCCGCGGCATCGACCGAGTGGACCAGCTCCCACCCCGCAGCAGCCGCACCAGACCCCCCCGGCACAGGCCCGCCTCCGAGAGACGCCGCCGCCTCTGAGGACGCGCCGCCGCCGCCCCCGCCGCCGCCGCCGCCGCCGCCGCCGTCGCCGCCGCCGTCGCTCCTCGCTCTCTGTGCTGCGGCGACGCCACGGATGCGCCCGCCCGCAAAGTCAAAGTACTGGGCCGTCCTGGTAATCTCCTGGTGTGGGCGCGCGTCCTGGTAGACTGCCCAGGAGACCGGGTCGCCCGCCTGCAGGACACTTCCGAGACGGTTCTGTGTGAGAAGGCTCGCGGTAGTCGCCCACGAGACCGGGTCGCCCGCCGGGCTATCGTTTGCGGTAGAGAGCTGGTACGCGCCGAGGGGGGCGGGCGTGCGGAGGGTGACGAGGAGGATGGCGTGCCCTCGCTGCCCCATGTTGACGTCGACCCACTTGGTGCCCTTGCGGAGGCTCCTGGCGGCGGCCGAGGCCGGCGCTGCCGTGCTGCGCGTGCTGACTCCGACGGCGCCGTCGACGGCTTTGGAAGGCGGGTGGGCCCCGGGCCAGGCTCCGCCCGGGTTCTCGGCCGCCGACACCGCCACCCGGGCGCCGTCGCAGTCGAATAGCGACAGGTCGGACAGCTGCAGCACGGAGCCCTGCTGCCGCACGCCAGTGAAGACAAACTTTAGCCGGGCAGCCGGCCGTCTCTTCGAGCAGGCCGTGGCGTTTTCACGCGCAGCGGCAAGCTTTGGGCGGCACCAGGTGCCCCAGTCCGGCGCCGCAACGCACGCCTTGACGCCGCCAGAGCAGCAGCCGTGCAGCCACGGGACGGCGGGGCGGCCGTCGGCGCCGGTGCAGCGCGCGCCAGCCGGTGTGCAGCGCGCGCCGGCCGGCGGCATGCGCGGCGGCAACACCAACGCCATGGGCGCCCGTTGCGGCCGCTCGCGCGAGGTGCGCGCAGCGCGCACCACAAAGCTATGCCGTCAATACACGCCGTGAAAAAAGAATTTTACCAATCCTAGCTCCCCGGTCCTGGGCGTGCGATTAATGACTGCACTCCAAGTGCTCCAAGTGCTCCAAGTGCACTACCTCGCACGACACTGGGCACGGGACTGGCAAACAAAAACAACACTGCGGGACTGGCGCGCACACTGGCACTAACACAGGTACAGGTACACTGCGGGAGCCGCCAAGCGACTCCCGCGAGGACGGCGAGGCACTTAGCTCCGTGCACTCGACCGCCCCCGCCACAGGTAAGCTCGTTCACAATCTGCTCTGCGATTGCCGTGTGAAGAACGACCGAGATACGCTGCTTCTGCAGCCCCGGCCAACTCTTGGGTTGTCGCGTTGTCCAAGTCACCTCGTCAAAAAAAGAATTCTCGGGTCCGAGGGCAGCCCCAGCTGGAGTAGGGAATTTGGATTTTGGTCAAACGCCTGCTGGGGGCAGCTCTACCGGGGCACGGGACTGGCGCGCACTGGCAAATAGAAAAAATATGCGCTGTCGTGCTCTCACTTCCTCACATGCCACCCGCCACCAGATCCAGAACGCTCGCGACTGGCACGAGCCTTATGGAGCCACGACACAGGCACGACAAAACTCAATAAAGGGCGGTGGACTGGCGCAGGGCCGCAGGCTACCTCTTGTATCACTATTGGGGTGATACGAGGTGTGAACGTGAACAGAGTAACCTTAACCAGATCACTATCGTTACTGTGCCGTACGAAAGTGTGAACAGGTTGGAGCAGCAGCTCCTGAGCACGGCGCCGCAGGCGCCTGTTGATAGGTCCACGTGATAGCCCTGGATGGGCAATGCATACGCCTAGTTGGGCCTCAGATCGCCCGACCGCGTCCCGGTGCTCTGCGTTCGGATTGTGTGTGACGCCGCCGCACCGCGCCGCGGCCGGGGGCCCGCCGGAGGCCGAGGATGGCCGTGGCGGACCGGGACGAGCTCTGGGAGGTTCAGTGTCAGTGAGTAGATTGTAGAGCGACTATGCACAATACCTCTCAGTCTAGCTACAGTAAGAGCCAGGGGAGGCGATGCCGGGGCCGTACAGCAGCTTGATGGTGCTTCGCCGGCGTGCCGTCCCGGAGCGGTGCCGGACGGGCGGTCCGTGGCCCGCAACGCCGACGGCGCTCTGCGTCATTCGACTTTTTACTTCAAACAAAGACACCAGTGGCGCACGCGCCCTCCACGCTCCAGCGCGCGCGGCGCGTGCGACTGTCAGGAGCGGATCCGTCAGTTAGTCGTGTTCACGCCGGGATCGTGTCCCCCACAACCTGGGCAGACTTTAGGCCACAACAGTACGCCGCGTATGGAGGCCTCCCTAACGTATGACCCTCCGGCGGATTATCGTTCTGAGACTGTCTGCCTGCTGTGTCTCCCCGCTGGCAACAGAACCGCGCAACTCGCGCCGTGCCTAGCTCCCAACCCACCCCTCCTACATAATGATGTTGAGCGAGGCGAAGCAGTTTCGCCACTCCTTGGACTTGTAGACGTGCCTCAGCTCGTCGCCCTCCTGGATGTCCCTGGTGGCGAAAATCTGGAAGGTGTTCTTGTCGAAGTCGCGCTCGACGATCGTGTTGGCCTGTGGGGGGGGGGGAGAGAGAGAAAGGCTAGGAGATGAGGTAGGTGCATATGTCGTAGGTGGAGGAGGCGGCGCTCTCCTCCTCGTGCCCGCAGGTGTTGTAAAAGGTCGCGCAGCCGCTGCCAACGGCCCAGTGCTCGTTTGGCACCTGAGAGGCGAGGGAGGTGTCTTGAAGGTGCCCGTCGCGGCTGGTGGTGTCTCGGAGGTGCCCGATGCGGCACCTCGTCCGACCAAGTGAAGACGTACCTGCCCAGGGAGGTGGAGCCACTGGCTGTGTAAGCGGCTGTGCTTGGCAGAGGACGGGCGGCGCAGCGCACGGGTTCTCATTGCCGTCAACGTTGGTGAGAACGCGCGCCACGCCCTTCTCGACAACCTGCGTGGCGGCGACTGTCATGATGAGCGGCGACTGTAAAGAGCACATCGGAGTGTTGCTCGTGTGGTCAACGATTGTGGATGTGTGGCGGTTGCTGGAACCACGTGCATGCGTGAGCGCCTCTCCGGAGGCGATGTTGCACGCGGCAAAGGCGCCGAGACCTCCGTGCCGGTCAGGCCGGACGTGAACCTTTGAGCAGTCGATCATGCTGTTCCGTAGTGTGCTCAAGGCGCGGCGTGAGCGCGCCATCAGTGAGCGCGCCATCATATGAGTTCAAGCTAGGATTCGAGCTGTTTCCGGGTAGGGTAGGGGTATCCGACCCCCCCCCCCCCGACCGACCCCTACCCCCCGACCCCCTCAAATGAGCATGTAACGGACGTCCCCAGTGGTGGCCGACCCCCGCTCCCCGGGGGCCGGGGCAAACCTTTAGCTTGACGACGTTTTTCCGCCCCGCCAGAACGCGCGAAACCGCTCAATGCCACTCTCGAATCCGCCCGCGCAGCGCGTGGTTTGGGGTGAGGAAGCTATGCTCGAGCGCCTCGCCCGTCATCGGGCTCGTCGACTTGGTGGCGAGCCAGCGCTCGATCTGCTTCCGCTCGTAGGAATGGCCGTCCGCCGCCATCACCGGGTCGCTCATCACCTCGGTCGTGATGGGCCTTCTACGCCCGCGGGTAGTCTCCCCCCATCCCCAGGGCCTCCAGGGCTCGCACCTCAACCTCTCACAGACCAGCGCATAGCGCCATACGACGTAATTTCTTCTCATAACAAGGCCACCGGAGCCGCCTATGCTACTCCTGCGAGGAAGGCGAGGCACTTAGGTCCGTGACCGAAACACAAACATCGACGACACGCAATCTCAGGAATGCTGCTGCCCCTGCCCCTTCGCCGTCGGGGGGTTGATCTTGGAGCACTTGGAGTGCAGTCAGCAACCGCACATCCAGGGCCGGGGAGCTCAGAAGCGCACCCAGCGGGCCGGATGATTGGCATCGGGTTGCGGGCAAGAGAGCCCTAGCCCCGGGGGTGCGCGTTCGCAGGGGAAGGGCCGTAAAGTAAACACGGGTCTCCGAGGGTTGGCCCCGCGTACCTTGATGGAAAAGATCAGCGAGACCTCGAGAGAGTAGTGCCGAAGGCGCTCTTTTTGATCGAGCTGTGAGAGCTCCATCGGAGCTGCAATCAACGACTGCAAGCACGGGCGGCGCAGCTCTTTCTTTCATTGTGGGCGGTTGTGGACAGGCACGCACCACAGTTCCTTAGCCTGGCGTTGGGCAAGCGCGTCGATTAGTGGAGAGGGCCCGAGACATGCTTTCTGGCGTGCGCCATTAGCGGGGTGTGGACCGTGAGTTGACCAGGGGTTCTTGTGCGCCGGGCCCTCCTGCTCGGCTCCAGCCAGTAGACAAGTCTTTTCACTAACAGAGTAGAAGGATCTGACCTCGGGGCCGATGTTTTGACCAAGCGCTGGTAGCGTGGTTTTACCTCACACCCATGCTCGGCGACTGAGGGGGCCAGTGAGGGCGAGCCCATCGCTGTCACAGCTGTGGCAGCCGCACGCAGTAGGCTGTGCCATCTGTGCAGAGCGTGTGAGCAGCAAAGACGGGTAGACGCACACGAGCGCCGCGGTCGTCCACCCGTCATAGTGGCGAGGCGCGGGACCGTCTGTGGCGAGGTGGGTCGCGTCCCCCCATCAACTCACGGTCCACCCCCTCTAAGAGGCAGCGGCCTCTACACTGACGCTCCTCCGCGGCGATTAACTGACGTTTTTACAGTGACACATCAGACGACACATATTCTCCCCGGGCGCGGCGAGGACACGATGGTGAGGCCCTCAGCGCGGCGTGCGCGGCAGCAGCCCCGCCGGCGGCCCCACGCCACATCAGCGGCGCAGGCGGTTGCAGCGAGAGTAGCGAGGTAAAGGACACTGTTGAAAGGTTGGAGAGCAGCCTCCCGTCGAGCAGCGCGCCGCGCAAGCCCGCCGCCGCGAACGACTCGTTGTTGTGAACTGTCTGTGCGATGTGTGCTTCTTGTTTCTTATCAACCTATCTGTGAACCCCCCCATCCCCAGGGCCTCCAGGGCTCGCACCTCAACCCCTCACAGGCCAGCGCACAGCGCCAGCGGAGGTATTTTCTTCTCAATAACAAGGCTGTGAACAAAAGTCTCACCGACAGGACAAGTCTCACCGAGTCGTTCGCGGCGCTGGAGTTGGCCGCCGCTCTGTGTGTCACGCGATGAGCGCAGCCGAGGCCCTCGCCCCGGCCAAGCAGGCGATCAAGCAGCAGGCGTTTTATATGAAGAAGGCGCGCAATCCCCGCAGATATACGAGCGACACACGCCCCAGCAGCACCGCACATCGCCCGCGCCTGCCGCCAGCCTCGGCACGCCGTCGCCGCGCCGCCCGCTCGTGTGATCGTCCCCGCCGCGCTCCAACGCCTCGCAGGCGCTCGACCAGCGCCACCTCCGCACTGCCCTCCACCATGCCGCGACGATGATCGGCGAGCTCCGCACGTCGGCGCTCGGGCCAAAGGCGTACTACGAGGTGTACATCGACGTGACGACGGAGCTGCGGCACCTGGAGGAGTTCTTCGAGGCGGAGCACGAGCGCGGCCGCCCCATGGTCGAGCTTTACGAGCTCGTCCAGCACGCGGGCAACGTGCTCCCGCGCTTGTACCTGCTGCTGGCGGTCGGCCGCGTCTTTCTTCAGTCCAAGGAGGCGGCCGCGAAGGTCGTCCTCGAGGACCTGGTCGAGCACTGCAAGGGGGTGCAGCAGCCGCTGCGCGGCCTCTTCCTGCGCAACTACCTGCTGCAGTGCACGCGCGAGCGGCTGCCAGACACGGGGTCTGACTACACAGACACAAACACAGACAGACACACACACACACACACACACACACACACACACACGCACGCACGCACACACGCACGCACGCACGCATGCTCTCTCAGGTCGGACTACGAGGGCGAGGGAGGGACCGTCTCGGACGCAATCAAGATCGTCCTCGCCAACTTCGGCGAGATGGCAAAGCTCTGGGTGCGTCTCCCCACCTCTCTCCCCATCTCTCTCCCCACCTCTCTCCCCACCTCTCTCCCCACCTCTCTCCCCACCTCTCTCCCCACCTCTCTCCCCACCTCTCTCCCCACCTCTCTCCCCACCTCTCTCCCCATCTCTCTCCCCACCTCTCTCCCCACCTCTCTCCCCACCTCTCTCCCCACCTCTCTCCCCACCTCTCTCTCCACAGGTGCGGATGCAGCACCAGGGGCCGGCGGCGAACAAGGAGCAGCGCGAGAAGGAGCGCGCCGTGTCAAGGGTGGTGCTGCAGCTGTGGACGGCGTCTCTTCACGGCTGCGGCTGTGAGCAGGAGCGCGCCGAGCTCAAGGTGGTCGTCGGCGGCAACTTGCACCGCCTGGCCTCGCTGGAGGGGGTGACGCTGCAGGTGTGTGAAGTAGACCTCGGGGCGGGGGCATGCGGCGCAGCACACAAACGGCGATAGACTGGCGCAATCCATGCCGGGGCGCACGCGGCGGCAAACGGTCTCTGCCGACACCGCGTACGGGCAAGACATCAGATCGCAAGCGCAAGGCGCGAGAGTAGAGGCCGGCGCCGCCGCCGGCTGCGCAGGTGTACACCGCAGAGGTGGTGCAGCCGCTGCTCGAGCTGATCGTGTCGTGCAAGGACGGGCTGGCGCAGGAGTACCTCCTCGAGTGCGTCTGCCAGGTCTTCCCGGTCGCGTACCACACCGCCACGCTCCCCACCCTCCTCCGCTTCCTCTCCTGGCTCTCCGCTGCCGCCGACGAGTCGGCACCCAAGATGTAGCCGAGAGATAGCCGAGAGATAGCCGACGCACACGCGCACACACACTCACGCACGCACACATACGCACACACACACACACACACACACACACACACACACACACACACACACACACACACACACACACACACATACGCACACACACACTCACTCACACACACACACACACACACACACACACACACACACACACACACACACACACACACACACACACACACACACACACACACACACACACACACACACACACACACACACATACGCACACACACACACACACACACGCCGCCGCCGCCGCCGCCTTCGCCGCCGCCGCCGCCGCCTTCGCCGCCGCCGCCGCCGCCGCCTTCGCCGCCGCCGCCGCCTTCCTCTCGTATGCGGCCATCCTCTGTGCTATATCTCGGCTGTATCTCGGCGAAGCCTCGGCAGGCGATCCTCTCGCACCTGATCAGCCGCCTCTGCGCGCTCGAGCCTGCCGACGGCGAAACAGAGGCGCGCGACGTCTTCACGCCCGTCGCCGACCACGTCGAGCGGCGCTGCGCCTCGCTGCGGCTGCTGCCGTCGCTCGCCCTCGCCCTCGCCCTCGCGCGGCTCGCGCTGGAGGCGAGATGCGCCCAGGCTGCCCGAGATGCGCCCGGAGATTGCACGAGATCGAGACTCATCAAGCCGAGGCCCGAGCGCCTCCGATCTCGGGCGACCTCGGCCGATCTCGGCCGATCTCGTGTGATAGGCGTACGAGGCGCACACCGAGTACCTCGAGCGCGCGCTCTCCCTCGCGAGCACGCGGCTCGAGTCGCTCGGCGTCGTGACCGAGAAGCGGGCGGTGGCGGTGGTGCAGGACTTGCTCTCGCTGCCGCTGAAGCGCAAGGGCGGCGACGTGCTGTACGTGCTCGAGCTGACCGAGTGGCCGAGGCTGGCGGCCCTAGAAGCGGAACACGTGTCCATGTCTTCCAACCAGCGCTCGAGAGGACACGCATTCCGCCGTGTTCACTGTATTCTTCTCCGTTGTATTCACGCGGTGCTCTGAAGACGACTCTGCACAGCACCGTCCTCCCGCCCTGACGCTCGGCGCTCCACATCTCCCCACATCTCCCCACATCTCCCCACATCTCCCCACATCTCCCCACATCTCCCCACATCTCCCCACATCTCCCCACATCTCCCCATATCTCGCACGTAGGCTCGTGTCGCGGCTCGAGCCCGACGAGCAGCGCCGAGTGGTGTCGCGCCTGCTGCGGGAGGTTGCGGGCCGCGGCTGCGTCATCTCCGACCCGCACCGCGCAGACCGGCTGCTCGTGCTGTGCGCGCCGCTGCTCCAAGGGGACTCGTCGCCCGCCGCGCCGGCCAATGGCGCCGAGACGGCAAACGGCGCCTCTGACCGCTCGGATGCCGACGGCGAGATGTCGCCGAGAGCGCTCCGAGAGCCCGCCGGAGATGCGCGCCGAGATGTCGCCGCGATGTCGCCGCGATGCCGCCGCGATGTCGCCGCGATGTCGCCGCGATGCGGCCGAGAGCCCAACCGTGGCCCAAGAGCGAGTCCGCATCGGCTCATGAGCATCGGCTAGGCTTGGACGTTTCCTAGACACTTCCTAGACACTTCCTAGACACTTCCTAGCATCGGCTAGGCCTGGACGCGGAGCTCGCCGGCGAGATGGCGCCGGTGGCCGCCATGATGCACGCGCTCGCGCACGAGGACACCGACGCTGAGGCGCGCGTGCTCAACGCGGCGTACAAGCACGCCGCCGCCGCCGCGCCGGGTCGGCTGCCCCACGTCCTCGTGCCGCTCCTCTTCCGCTTCCTGCAGGAGCCCACCCCACCCTCACCCACCCCACCCCACCCCACCCCACATCACCCCACCCACCCCGCGGCCCGGCTGATGAGGCGAGGAGCCACCCCTCCCGCCCCACCCGCCCACCGCCCCACCCGCCCACCGCCCACCACGCCGCCGTCCTGCGACCAGCTGGCGCGCCGCGTGCGGCTGGCCGAGGAGGGCGGGGCCACGCTCGAGGTGTCGTGCGGCAAGCTGCTCGCCTTTGTCGGCCAGATCGTCCAGGCGGTGACCGCCGCCGCGCCCAACCTCGCGCTGCGCCTGTACGTGCAGTGCGCGCAGGTGGCGGACAGCTGCGGCGACGACGACGGCGCGTACGAGTACCTCACGCAGGCCTTCACGCTCTTCGAGGAGGAGGTGGCCGAGCAGAGCGCCAAGCTGGCGGCACTCTCCCTCCTCTCGGCCGCGCTGCCGCACATGACGTCCTTCTCCGCCGAGCAGTACGAGACGCTCGCGCGCTCCGCCACGCAGTACGGCGCCACGCTGCTCAAGAAGCCCGACCAGGAACAGCGCCGCCGCAAAGCACAGACCCGGCGCAGCCGTGAACGGCGCCTCTTCACGGCTGACGCCGCAAGTAGGCGCGCGCCGTCGCGAAGGCGTCCTTTGCCTTTTGGCCGCTCGCGGGGCTCTCGCCCCACCGCAACGCGCAGCGCGCGCTCGAGTGCCTGCAGGTGATATCTCCCCATATCTCCCCATGTCTCCCCATATCTCCCTGCGTCACTCGTGTCCTGAGTGCCTGCAGCGCGCGCTCAAGATCGCCGACGGCTGCAAGCGGTCGGGGATGCACGCCCCGCTCTTCGTCGAGATCCTAGACGCGTACTTGTGGCACTACGAGCAGGGCAACGACCTCGTCACACTGGCGTACATCTCGTCGCTGATGCAGCTCATCGACCAGCACGTCGCCGAGTGGCGCAGCGACTGGCAGGCCGCCTCGGACGCGCCGGGCGCGCCGGCCCATGTCGTGCGCTACGTCGCCACGAGGAGGCACATCAGCGCCAAGGTGCGCGGAGGGTCGCAAAAGTACGAAGGGCTGCAGCTCTGAGTCGCGGTGCAGGTCTATGCCGTGACCGCCACGGCTAGTGTGGCGTCGACTGCGAGCGCTCGACGGCGCGCCGAGTCGGCCCTAGAGGGTGGCACGAGGCGCGGCTCCGTTGCCCGAACGCACACATACAGGCCGTCGGCACTGCGGGAGGGTGCTGCCCAGGAGATGCGCTCGCTTTCGCGCAGGGGTGAGGCAAAGATGCACATGTGTCTTATATCGGTGTTTATATCGGCGCTGGCGAAACGGGCCAGACACACACTTCTGCTGAATAATTTTCCGTTTACGGCAATTTCCGCCGCAAACCGGACACATCCACATCCTCGAGACAAAATTCCACATACAACGTCACTACATCAGTGTCAGCTTCCTTTATCCTTTCCGCTTTCGCGCTTGGTCGAAATGGCAAGATGCTTATTGGTCTACTCCGCCGCGCTCCGGTGTCCGGACCTCGCTCGCGCAATCGCGGGATCGGTGGGAAATCAAACAAGAAGTCGCACGCCGGGCGCCCGTGTTGTGTGTGAGCTCTCTTGTGGACGACGGGAGGGCTTGCGTTCTCGAGGTCTCTCGAAGTGTTGGCGTGCACCTCGATCCTGTACCGTGTATGACCCCCCCCCCCCCCCCCCAATGAACACACCAGTGAGGGAGGGCGAGACGATCGAGGGTCCCGTACCATGCGGAACGACCCTATCTACTCGAGTAGATATCCAGTGCTCAAGTGCTCAAGTGTTGGCCGCCCCAGGCCGGCGTCCGTGGAGCCGGTTGTTGGTCACGGTACATGGCGGCCCGGAGGCTGTCGCGGTACGTATGCAAGCAGCACCGGGCGCTGGCGCATCCTGCGACTGCAAGACGCCTTTCGAGCTTGGCGGTTGAGGTCAGCGATGAGTCAACTCGACCGGGGAGGGCGAGTTCGGAGCACTTGGAGTGCAGTCGGCAATAAATAAATAAACAAAGAGTTGGACAAATACCAAATTCCAAATCGCAAACATAGAAACCCAAACACAGGCGGCGACGTGGCATACGAGCTCATAGGAGAAGGAGGCGGGCACAAGTTCCAAGGACGCACGAGCGAGCGAGACAGCAGCCATGACGATGATGAAACTCACCCAAGCTAAAGAAAGAAAAGAAAGATAACAGACAACCCAAGGGAGGGATGGGAGGACATAAATAAATAAATAAAACGGACACACCAAATGGGATGCCGACGCGTGTGATTTCTTTTGGTGGCGCCTCTGATCGAGAGCTCGCCGCGCTGCTCAGCTCACGCACTCGTCGCCGCGCCGCGATCATGTCTCTGCTGGCGGTTGTCTTGGTAGCGCCGGCGCTGACGCTGCACCCCGCGAGAACAGCGCTGCGGCCGCAGCCTGCGCGGGGGCCGCTGCTGCAGCCGCGGTTTGCGGCGGCCGCAGCTCGGCCGCGCGGTGCGATTGGCGCGGCTGCAGCGGCTGCGGCGGGTGGCGTGTGGATGCAGGAGGGGCTGGAGCGGGAGAAGAAGGCGAAGAAGGGCGGCGCGGCGGTGGTGGAGCGGCCCAAGGCCGAGCCCAAGCAGATGAGCAAGGAGGAGATTGCAAACGAGCCGATGTGGCGGCTGCTGATACACAACGATGACGTGCGCCAGCTGACGCAAGACTCCCCGCACTCTGCTGCTCGCCGCCGCCGCACCTCCCCTACCGCTGGCCCTCGCCTCGGCCGCTGGTGCCACCGATCGGCGGCCTTCGCAGCCGTAAAGCGCACCCCATCCGACACGACAGCGCCGCTCGGCCTGCGCCGCGCCGCGCCCGCCGCCGCCGCCGCCAGAGTTGCCTCGCCCAACGCACGCGCGTGCGGCGCAGGTGCACACGTGGGACTACGTCATCTACGCGATCGTCTCGGTCGTCAAGACGGTCACGCGGAAGAAGGCCCACCGCATCACAACCACGGTGCGATAGACAGATGGAGGGGCGAAGAACAGTCAGAGGCTCGGACTGGACACCAACGCGGTATGGGTGGACGCGAGACAGACACGCAGACTCGCAAGACACCCAGCGGTACGAGAGGGCCCTTTCGCAGAGCCTACCCGGCTCTTCGATCCAGTCCCCAGACACCTCACACCGACGCGTCCCCGACGCGTCCCTGGGGCATCGCCCTGGCATCGTCCCCGACACCGCTCTGACGCGTCCCCGACACCGCTTTGACACGTCCCCGACACCGCTCTGACACGTCTCCGACACCGCTCTGACACGTCCCCGACCCGACATCGTCCCGACACGTCCCTGATATCGCCCCCGTTATCATCTCCTGTAGGTGCATACGATGGGCTCTGCGACCGTCACCATCACCTGGAAGCAGCAGGCCAAGAAGTACTGCATGGAGCTGCAAAAGTGAGACGTCGCCGAGATGCGCCGAGATGCCGCCGAGATGCCGCCGAGGTACAGCCGAGGTACAGCCGAGGCACAGCTGCGGTACAGTCGAGATACAGGTACAGCCGAGGCACACAGGCGAGGCACACAGCCGAGGTACAGTCGAGGGACAGAGCCGAGGTACAGCCGAGATGCAGTCGAGGTGCAGTCGAGGCGCCTCCTCGCCCGCGCCCCCTTCACACAACAGCACAGCCCCGGGACCGTCATCGCACGACCAGACAGCGACAGTCAGACATGCGGCACACGGGCGGTCGCACGGGGGGCGAGCAAAAGCTTTCTCGCGCCCCTTGACACGCCGCCGCTCCGCCGACAGGTGGGGCCTCACCTCATCCATCGCCCCGGAGTCGGACGGTGACAAAGGGCCCGGCGGCGGCGGCGACGGCGGCGGCGGAGGCGGCGCGTGAGGCGGGTGCGTCACTAGGACGCCCTGCCAGGTGCGCCGTGGTTCTCCACGCAGTTTCGCCGCCGCACTCACCGCCGCATCTCCGCGCCTTATCTCCGCTTGACGGCCATGCCTTGGGCGGCAGCCAGCTTTCCTAGCACACAACGTGTGAGAAATGTCCAAATTTCACAAAAAGTGGATGAATAATCAAAATTGAACTTTGAACGCATCTCGTGGTCGTGCTCTCGCTGTGCCGCAACAACGAAAATCAAAAAAATATAGAGTCTCGAGCTCGACACCTAGAGGCTAGAGGGGGGAAAATGCTTTAGCGCGAAAAACAGGCACACCAATCTCCCTTCCTCTCTCTGTCCCCCCTTAGAGCTCCAGAATCCACACCCCCCTGCCCTGGGATCGCGTACGAGCTGTGGCTACCGGAGATCTCTCCCTACTCCCTCTCCCCCTCCCTAAAGCCTGGCAATGGATCAATAACGCTCACAAAGACAGCAACGTCCGGACTAAGCGTGAAGCTGTTACTGAGTGTGCTCAGCTGCGGCCAGGTGATGGGCTATATCGTAGCAGAAGTAGCAGCTCAGCTTCGGCCATGTGGTAGGACTATCAGGTAGTAGCCGAGCGGCCACTGTGACCGCTGTGTCGGAAACGCTGAGCTAAGGCCGAGCTAAGATTGCGCCGGTGCGAGCTTTAGGCGACTTCGCGTGGTGCGCGAGCGTGGGCGTGCTCTGCCATCGGCAGGCAGCGTGAGGGCTGCGATCTCGCGCTCGGTGGCCGCTAGCTGGGCAGGGTTCACAGCCACCCTGTCCTCAGCCAGGGCAGCGCAACGGTGCTGAGGTTTCAGAAGCGCCGAGCGCCAGAGCAGCAGGGTCTGGTCGGCGAGCCTTCTGCGGGTAACGTCGGTGCTGCCCTGGGAGCACCGCAGCTTCTCCAAGAGGTGCTCGCGAAGCGTCGTCAAGTGCGGCGCCAGAAGCGTGTGCAGTGCGTGGCATGTGCACGACAGTGCCTTCAGCTCGATTGCTGCACTCGTGATGGGCGAGTCCCACATGAGCGCACGCTGGCGCCGCACGCTCGGTACCCGGTTCTCGCCGATGACAAAGGCGAGTGTGAGGAGCGAGTCGTCAGTCAGATCGAGGAGCACCTCGACAGGCCTCAACATCGAGCCGGCGAGCGAGGCCGCCGCCGCCGCGTGGCCGTCGGTGGAGATATGAATGTGAATCGCGACAATAGCCGGGGGGAGCGCGGGCCCAGGTCGCGCACCCAGTCGAGAACGATGAGCGTCCAAGCGCCAGCTGCGCTCTCACCTTGGGCGTGCACCTCCAATCTGGGACGCGTCCCGGCGACGCAGTTTTTCTTTTTCGTTTGTTTTAGAGAAAGCGTAAAGAACACCGTCTTGTGAATCTTTTTAATCAGCATCCGCCGACAACGAACGTGCGTCCCCTCACGTCCTGCCAAGTGCTGTGAAATGGGTGTGCATGTCCCAGAAATATCTTAAAAGAAAGAATTCTTAAGATATAAGCCTCTCTCACAGCACACTGGCACGACAAGGGCGCGGACTGGCGCGGACTGGCACACACACCGGCTCACCACCGGAGCCGAAGAAAGAAAGAAAACAGACAACCCAAACGAGGGATAGGGGAGGAGGGGAAGGAGCGTCTCTTCACAGCACATGTCCATGATTAGGCGCCGTCCTCTCCCTCCAGATCGGAACGTCCGCGTCGCCGGTCTCGGGCACCATCTTCATCACCGCCCTCGTCTTCTGCCTCCTATTGCTCGCGTGGGGACGCAACGCCTTTTCCGACGTCGAGCTACTGCAGAACGTCCTCACGGGCACGTGTGTCGCCGTAAGTGCGGCCAACGACCTCAGCCAGGACTGCAAGGCGCTGCAGCTGTGCGGCTTCCCGCCGCGCTCTGGTTTCGTCGCGCAGCTCATCGGCGGCCTGGCCGGCTCAATCGTGGTGCCGTGCGCGCTGTACGTCGCCGACGACGCGTATGGTCTCGGCACCGAGCGCTTGATTGCGCCGCAGGGCCAGATGTTCGCCACGCTGGTCGACGGGCTGCTGCTCGCCGCGAAGGTCCCGTTCAAGCCGGTAGCCGTCGGCATTGGCATTGGCGTCGTCGGCGTCCTTGCGGATTTCCTGGTGTCGCGCGAGAGCATACAGATCCCTGCGATGGCCATGGCGGTGGGGCTCTACCTCCCTGCATCTCTCGGCATGGGCATCCTTGTCGGCTCCTTGTGTCGATTCGCGGGCGAGCAGGTCCGCATGTGCACCAAGAGCTCGAACGAGGCGTTCCTGCGCACGCACGAGTCGATCCTCGCCGCGTCTGGCCTCATCACTGGGTCCGCCTTCCTCGACCTCTGCCTCGGCATCGGGGTGCTGGCCGGCTTCAGCACGGAGCAGCTGAGCCTCTTTACGACCTCGGGCGAGGAAGGGAAGGCGCCGCTCCCCGAGGTGCTCCAAACGGTGCTCGCGATCATCGGCATCGCCGCCCTCGGCGCCATCTCCTTCTTCAACTCGCTGAACGGCATCGCGGACCACACAGTCGAGAATGGCAAGGCGGGGGGCTCGCTGCAGGCGGGGCCGGGAGCGTCGATGATGTGATGGCGGCTCTAGCGCGTCGGGAGTGGTTTACGTCGGCACCCTGTAGGTGGCATGTACAGTACTCAGAAGTCAGTACCGTGACTCATAGTACAGAGATAAAACACATTTCATATCCACCTGGACCGCTGTACGAATCTGTACGTCTCTCTCTCTCTGTGCCTGTACATTCTTCTCTGCACCAGGACCTTCCTCTCTCTCTCTCTCGAGGACTGCGAGAACTCCGATAAGAAAGCCACACCCAATCCCAAACACACCAAAGCGCTTGGCTCATGGTGAAGTAGAAAGGGAGCTCTGCTTCACCCGTGCCTCGCCCAATACGCAGACCCGTAGTCGTACGCGAGCTCCTCCCCCTTCTCGACCGCACGCGTCGTCGCCACGAGTATGTGGAACGCCCCATCCACGAGCACCGCCCAGCAAGTCGCGTTGTTCGCCGGTGCGCCCCGCGGCGCGTGATTGACGAAGCGGAGCAGGCTGCCTGAGCCTCAAGTCCCGCGACGGTGAGGAGGCGGAGCTCTCGAGAGCTTGCTGGGAGACGCGCATCTACGCTGAGGAGGCTGCCTGCGGAGCGAGCGGACAGGTGCAGGCTGCCCGCGGCGTCCGGGTAGCGCATCAAATACCGGTCGGCGCCTACCATGCGGCCGAATCCCGCCGAAGGTTGGCGAGAACCTCGAGGGCTCGCGCTGCAGAAAGCCTCTCGGTGCCGCAAGCCGCGCTACAAGCCGTGGTGTCGGAAGCGAGGAAGCCGCGCGCGAGCGTGCCCGTGTACTCGCCGATGATGTGGTGCCGCGGCAGCGCCGTCGCCGCAAACAGTCCGTGCCCGCCGTGGGCATCTGGGGCGACGTAGGTGGAGGTGTCCACGCCGGCGGTCGCTGACACGCCACCAGAGCGGACCTCCTCGACGCACCGCCGTCTGTTCATGGCAAGAGGCGTGAAGAGACGCCGTGCCACAGCCGCCGCGGGCCTCGGCGGCACAAGGCCGCCTCAGCAGCTCCGTCGGCGGCGTTAGCTCGTCGGCCAACGCCTCTGGCGGCAAGCTCTCGAGCGGCAAACTGCGCTGCACCTGTGAAAAGGGGAAGGGGGGGGTGGCTCACAGATGAACTCGAGACAGCGACTCAGATGTGGCCTAGATCTAGCCCGGCCTTGGGGCGCCTCGGCCTGATCTCGGCCTGGTCTGTCTCTAGGTCGGCGCCTCGGGCGTCTCAGCGACCAGCACCACACTCATGGTGAAACGCAGTCGCGTCTCCAGCTCACTGATCGCAAGCAACTGATGCGACGGGTCGCCAGGCGGCCCTCCGTACAGGACATGCGTCGGCGGGCGCGGCGGCGGCGAAGCGCTCGGGCAGCGGACGCGACCGCCGGAGTCGTCCCAAGCGCACGGGGGCGAGACGTCAGCGAGAGTGTGCACCCACGCAAAGGTAGCCTGCTGGGGCGGCGAATGCTGCTGCTGCTGCTGCTGCTGCTGCTGCTGCTGCTGCTGCTGTGGTTGCTGCTGCTGCTGCTGCTGCTGCTGCTGCTGCTGCGGTTGCTGCTGCGGTTGCTGCTGCTGCTGCTGCTGCTGCTGCTGCTGCTGCTGCTGCTGCTGCTGCTGCTGCGGTGGCGGCGGCGGCGGCGGCGGCGGCGGCGGCTGCTGCGCTGGTAACGGCCGCGATGGCGGCGGCGGCGGCGGCTGAGCCGGCGGCGGCGGCGGCGGCGACGGCGGCGGCGACGGCTGCAGCGGCTCGCCGTGTTGCTGCCCCGCCCCGCCACCCGCCCCACCACCGCCCTCGTTGCTTGCGGCGTGTTGGCCGCCGACCGCCGCGTCTGGATCCGCAAAGAGGGGCGCGTCGGAGGGGAAGTTGTGGACGTCGGTGAACCACGGCTTGGCGTAGACGAGGTACAGCATCGGCCTGTTCACACCGGGCGGCTGTGAAGAGGCGAGCGGAGGCTTGGCGACGAGGCACAGCATCGGCCTGGAGCGGCGCGCCGCGCCCCTGCTAAGGTTAGCCTGTGTTCCGAGAGAAGCTCGTATTATGGCGCTCGAGGGGTACGCGCTGAACGCGCAGCCCATGACTGTCACTAGTATGGTTGACTAGTCTTCGTTCTCAGCAACGTCGCCGGCATTATCAGCCAATCCCGGGTGGGCGATCTCGGGCGATCTCGGTGATCACGATCTCGGGCGGTCTCGAGTGATCTCGGGAAATCTCGGGGCGATCTCGCCTGGCCGCGGTGGATGATGCGGTAGTCAAAGGCGAGAGCGTCGGCGCACAGCTGCGGCGTGCAGTGGGGCAGGTGGCAGCTGCCGTCGCCGAGGCCAGTGTAGAGGTGCTCGCGCGTACACCTCTGCGAGCCTGTTCACGGCTTGGAGGTGTGAAGAGCCGAGGCCAGTGTAGAGGTGCTCGCGCGTACACCTCTGCGAGCCTGTTCACGGCTTGGAGGTGTGAAGAGACGCTTCACCGCACTGCAGCCCTCCATCGCCGCTCGGCTGGGAACGGTGGTTTGCTTGGTGGGATCTCGCAGACCTCGCCTAGGCCTCGGCTGGATCTCGGCTAGACCTCAGATAGACACATGGCCGAATCTCCGCCAGACCTCGGCCAGACCTCGGCCAGACCTCGGCCAGATCTCGGCTAGGTCTCGGCCAAGTCTCGGCTTGACCTGGGAAGAACTGTGGCGGGCCGAGCTCATCGGTGAGCAGGTCGACCAGAGGCACAAAGATGGTCAGGCAGTGCGGAGGCAGGTCGACGCCTGCTAAAGCTCGAAGCGTGAAGAGACGCTGTTCGCGGCTGCGGGCGGCCCACCACCAGTCCTCTCGGGGAATGCGCCAGGCGTGTGATGGAAGGGTCCGCGTGTTGGAGTGTCAAGAGAGGGAGGAGGCGTCGGTGCTCGGCACCGTTCGGGAAGAGGAAGCCTCCGTCGCGGTGCCAGCCCTGCGTCTCGCTGCCTGGCCGATTGTCGACCACGCCGCGCCACAGCTCCTTGACGTCGTCTCCGAGCACGCTCCGCACAAACGGCAGCCACGGCGCGGCTGACCACAGCAGCAGAGACTCGGTGAAGATGGCGTCGGAGAGCGCCCAGCCGCGGAGGTCGTAGCGAGCGAAGCGGCGGCGGCAAACCTCGTTGAAGCGCCACGGTGCCTGCAGGTCGACGCCTCGAGCCGCGAGGCGCTCGTCCAGCAGCCGCGACTTGCGTTCGAGCACCGAGCGGCAGGCGGCGACGAGAGACGGCGGCAGCGCTGCTTCAAAGACGCAGACGCCAGCCTCGAGGAAGAGGTCCGCTGCGGCGTCGGCGTCGTCGGCGGTGGCGGCGAGGTCGCCGTCCGCGACGAGGTGGGTCATGGATTGCCGACACGACCTCCAGCACGACCTCCAGCACGGTCGTGTCGACGGCCCCCCGGGGGCGACGGGGTTGGGGCAACCCCTGCCTAGACGAGTGTCCCGGGGCTCCCCCGCAAGCACTGGCACTCCTTGCCCAGCTCAAACTCGGCGCAGTCTCGGCCGGCGCGCGCTCCTGCGCGGCCACCTAAATTCCCGAGTCGCTGCACCCCGCCAGAGCACCCACCCACCTCGCCGCCACAAGCAGGAGCGGCGGTAGAAGTCGAAACGTGCGCCGCACGGCCGCCTCGCTTGAACGGCCGCTTCCGCATAGTCGACCGATAGCCGCCGCGCTCCACACCCGGCCACAGCCTGACCACCCCGCGCGGACACAGGGCGCACTGCAGCCCTGCTGGACTGCCCGGCCGCTCACACACCGCCTCGGCCGCCCACACCAACGCACAGACCCGCCTCGGTAGGCGTGCTGCTGGGGGCGGGCCCGAGACGGCTGGACAGGAGCCGAGTGCAGTGGCGATCCAGAGGCTACCTGGATCGTCAAGAGGTGCTCCATGACTACTCTGAGCAGGGCTGTGCTTTGGTGGGGCTGTTCTTGATCATGTGTGAAGTAGGAGTCCGTAAGGGTACCAGCTGCCAGAGGGGTCGATTTCTCGACCTCCCGAATTCTCCGGGTAAGGGCGGTCCCCGGCATTATTTAGGGTGCTAATCACGAATCCAAGGCCAGAAACACGCCGGAAGATCATCCTACAGGTGTACTCGGTAACTCCATGGCCCATATTGTTGCTTGCGAAGTGGATCCATTGGCGCGCGGGCAAAGACGGCGGCGGAGGTGCCGCAAGTGGGAGCTGAATCTCGCGCGCCCTGTGTCTGTCTGTCTGTCTGTGCGGCTGGCGGGGCTGAGGCTGAGGACTGTGTGTCTGAATTTTGACATTTGCGTGCCGCGGTCGCGGGGGGAGACACCCGTGCGCGCGTGTCCCGCGGTATCCGGTAAAGAGCCGGACATTTCTCACGGCGGTCCTCTTTCTCATTTGTTAGTGCCAGTGCGCGCCAGTCCCGTGCCCAGTGCTGTGCGAGGGAGTTTTTATCGTGAACTCTCTCACATGACACTAGGCACGGGACTGGAGCGCGCACTGGCAGTGGCACTATCCACTAACACAGGTTCAGGTACACCACGGGAGCCGAAAAATAATTCTAGAAAGAAGGCCGCCCTCGCACAACACTGGGCACGGGACTGGCGCGCAGTGGCACTGACACAGGTACACCACGGGAGCCGAAAAAAAATTCTAGAAAGAAGGCCACCCTCGCTGCTCGCACAACACTACACTGGGCACGGCGGACTGGCGGTGGCGCGCACTGCCACTGGCACTAACACAGACAGATGAAAGGCGGAGCAGTCTGCTCTAGCCTCACGTCGCGTGCCCTGTCGCCTGTGTTGTTCCTGCTGTTGTTTGTGCCCTTGGCACCGTGGGTGGGTGCTCAGTGGGTGCTGCCGCCTCTCTCTCACGCACACGATTCAGCATTCACACGGCAAGGCAACTGACTGGCAAGGCCTTGTGGCCTGCACGTAATTTTCCTCTGGTTTCGCGCGTCTTTTTTTCTCGTCGGCGCAAACACATAACTCAACAACGAAGGTACGGACCCAAGACGAGAAGAAAGCTGTCACAGTGGGGACGGGCGGCGCCGCGTCAGAGCCGAACCGCGGCCGCGCAGACGGGCGCCGCGATGGGGCTCCGAGACCCGCCCGCCCCCCAGCAGTAGACACACCCGCCCACGCCCGGCAGCCAGGCCGCAGCGCCGCGCTGGGCGCGGCGCTCGCTGTTGCCGGGCTCGGGCGCACACACAATAGCGCACTCGCCCCCGCCTCAGAGCTTCTCTCACGACATGGGCGGGGGCTCGGTGTCTACAGCCAGCCGGCGGCGGTGCGCCGGCGGCGGCTGTGCTGGCGACTCCTCAGGGGAGTGGCGCGGGAGCGGACGCGGACGGCGCGGGCGAGGACTTGGACGTGGGCATGGGCACGACGCAGCATGGGATCGCGGCATGGGAGTCGGCAGTAGAGTCACAGAGGGCCGGCCGCGGGCGGCGGGCGGCGGCTCACTCGAGGCCGGCGATGTTGGTCGCGCTGCCGTTGGGCTGGCCGACGAGGTCGAGCAGCGACGCCGCCGAGCTCGACCGCACCAGTTCCATCAGCGACGTCACCGACGGCGACTCCTTGAGCCCGTTTGCCAGCGCCGTCAGCTCTGCCAAGTCGTCCGTCGACGGCGCGCCGGTGAGGCTGCCCCACGAGTTCCGCCGCCCCCCCGACCACGGAAGCACCTGCGGATGGCGCGGGGCGAGGGGCGGGTCGGCGGGGCGGCGCGGTGCTAGAAGGCTGGGCTCCAGGGGAGCGTCGCTTGGAAGTGTCCCATAAGTGACTCGCACAAGCCCGGATCTCGTGCATTGCGGGTCAGGGTTCGTCTCGGACGCGCTCTCTGAAATGGCGCTCACCGACGGCGGCGGCATGCTCCCCGACGCTCCCATGTCGCTGCTCGATGCCGCGCGCACGAGCGCCGCAAGGTTGAGCTCGGACGTGCCCTGAGGGGCGTGGACGTGTGATGGGCGCATAAGGCAGGTACCACCTTAGTAGGCATCTTGCGGGGGTGTCGCGTGCGCGCAAAACACAGGAGCCGTGGGACTCGGCAAGGGAAGCGTGAGATTGGAGGCGCGTGCTTGGCGAGGGGCCGAGCGGGGAGCGTCTCGGGACTGTCTCGAGGCGTCTCGAAGTGGGACGCGCACCGGCGCCGGCGCGCCGCCCGCCTCTGCTTGCTCGGCGAGGTGCTGCAGCGAGTTTGAGCTCTTGAGCAAGCTCATCAGCGAGGCGAACGAGTTGGAGGAGGGGACGGCGGGCATCACCGGCCCGCCCTCGCCACCCTCCCCCTGCCCCTGCCCCTGCATCGTCCTCTGGGCCGCGCCCTCGAGGTACTGCAGCAGCTCAATCGTCGAGCGAGACGGGGGCATCCCGTTAGCCTGCGGCCGCAGCACCGACTGCAGCAGCTGCCGCATCGCCGCGTCGCCCGCGCCCAGCGTGGCGGCGCCCCCTGCGCCGTCGGCCGAGCTCGACGGCCCCGTGGGAAGCACCCCCTGCCCGGCGGCGACCGTCGCTGCGCCCGCGGGGGGGCGCTGGCTCGCCCACTGCGCCGTCCCCGGATCGATCTTTGGCTTTTTCGAGCTGCTGCGCCCGCCGCCGCCGCCGCCGCCGCCCGCCTCGGCGGCGGGGGCGGCGGCGGGGGCGGCGGCCGGGGCGGCGGCCGCGCCCTTTTGAGGCCTCTTGCGCGCCGCCTTGGGCGCCGCCTCTTTGCGCGACGGCCGCGCGCCGATCGCCTTG